CTGTCTTTGATCATTTCCTCCTTTTTCCTGGTTCGTTTTAAATGCTTGATAAGCCGTTGCTATGTCATCTGAAATCATTTTAGGAACAACTTCGCTTGTTTTCCGTCTTGGTACAGAACTTTTTACTTTAGGGGGCAAAGTTTTCAATTTTTTTTCTGTCTCATCATCGTCAAGATCTGTGTCATCTTCCTCCATTAATGATGAAGAAGCACTTTTGAGTCTTTCCAATGTTTCTTCCACTGATTTAAGAAGAATGGTATCTTCCTCCGTCTCGTGTTCAACAACTTTTTTTGAATTCGAATCTTTATTATCTTGGTATTTCTTATCTCTCGAATCTTCCGCTTCAGACGCCATTGCTCTTAATTCATTTTTTGGAAATTCTTGCTTCTTCCAAAATCTGATTGGCTCTGTTTTTTGAGACGATTATTCTGAATTCACAATTTTTTATGGCTTTAAACTGAAAAAAAGAATACAAATAATATATTTAATAATAATTAAAAATAAATGTTGTCTCATTGTCAATAAATGCTATAAAAATGAAGAAACAAGGAAGTTATTGTTCCATTTAATATTAAATACAAAAAAAAATTAATTAATCGACTTGGAGCAGTTCTTTTGTGAAGTATTTGGTGACGGTTACTTAATAATAACTTCACTTCTAATTTAATTTTCTTCAAGGATCTCTTTACATGGAATTAATGTGGGTGGGGATAGAGAGTTCGCTCTCCAATGAGGTGAACCGTGTTCGAATCCCAGCGATGGCTGGTAGTTTCGAATTCTGCATCTGGCTTGCATCGACCACAGAGCTCACGTAAAATATCCTCAGTGGTAGACGGATCAGTAGTTAGAGTCCCCTTGCCGTCAGGCTAACCATGAGAGGTTTTCGTGGTTTTCCTCACCATGTAACGCAAATGCATGTCAGTTCCATCGAGAAGACCTCCACGAAGGTAAATTTCTCCCAGTACTTAGTCCAGGAGATCCCTTGTTTTCTGGACTGGCTTAAAAATTACAACGCTATGGAGTTGAACATCAGTGGTCGTCAACCCAAAAAATTGGGTCGGCTGTTCAACGACGGTTATAAAATAAGAATAAAATTCCTCTAGGTGGAAAACTTCAGAGTTGGCACTCTCATCTCGAAAGCGGTTAGAGATAGGGGAGTGAATAAAGTTGTAGTGTGTCATCGATGTAGTATAAATTATTGTTGGTATTTTATCCGAAAGAAACTCATTTCTACCAGGACACTGGAAGAAATTGAAAAAACCGGAAGAAACTGGACAAAATAAAAGAATCTGGATATAATAATCCAAGACAATATTATTGGCAATAAATACTATAAGAGCAGCTTAAATTTACTAATTAAATTTGATATATTACCAAACAGTTAACAAATTTTATATTCACTCGCTGTTTTTTCAGAAATANATATATATATATATTTCGATTATTTATACACATCTGTAGAACATTGAAATTAATGAATTATACTATTTAAAATAAGTTTCAGTCTCCCCACTAAACAGCATTCGATTATAAAACTTAGCATATGCTATTTGTAATTGCATATTCAACTAATTTTTCTTTCCTATTCAATATTTAAAAATTATGTAGTAAATAACTTGAAAATTAATATTAAAGTGCAATTATAACTGATTGCTGTTATAAACTGTTTAAAAACTTGTGTTTGATAAGTCTTTTGGAGAACTAGTTTCTTTTACTAGGGGAGGAAGAAACCTACATATTCGAGCTTAGTTTTTCCATGTTTTTTATCCACTGTAGAAAAAAGTCATTATACCAGCTACAAATAAGATACTTTGTGCATATTAGTGCTTAGATTTTTCTCTAAGCACTAATATGCACAATGTATTAACACTAATATGCACAAAGTAATAGTGCAAGGTATTAGCACTAAGCACTAATATGCACGGCTTAAATGCTTGAAACGTGGACTTGCTTGTTTGATTGCGGTGTTTAGGAACTTATGGTAACAATTGAGTTCTTGCAGAGAAGAAGATCACAGATGATACCCATACATGTGACGTATGCGCCAGCTGATCTTTAATAAGCAAAATGGCGTGTTAAAGTTGATCTAAGTTTCTCCACATAAACTAGAATGTAAATCAACATGAAGTTATAAAATAAAGCGTGGTATCGCACATCAAATTTGTTGAAATAATTTTTTTTTTTTCAGATTTATTATTACCTGCCAACTTCGATGCATAATTAATTGTTTATGTTCTGCATGATTTCATGCCTGCCTTTGTGTTAAGTAAGATATATATAGTGAAAGAATTGAAATCTTTATGAAAGAATCTTTGTCAAGTGTTATAGAATGTATCACTTACGAGAATTGATACTTGACGAGATTGGCTTACCCGTAATAGAATGGAAAGAACAGTTGTTAACGAAAACAAATGCCACGTTTCAATAACCAATCAGGATCGATATACCCACACTACGTCACTTGCACGAATCCCATTACGACCGAGGGAAACGAGATATAGTTCGTTCACCAGGAGTTGGCACTTGGCTCAGCTTTCATCACTTGGTATCCGACCAGGGCCGCCCCGAAAGAAGGAGGAGTCTCCTTCTTTCGAGGCGGCCCTGATTCGCTATTATGGGGAGACAGAGTGAACAATACTGAACAAGATTGCTATTTGGCGATCGTATGACAAAAATATTTATTTCGCAATCTTTGTGTTCATTTTTTTAACATTAAATATATCTCACCTTTGAGTGAATAGTTTGTCCTTTTTGAGACATTTTGCTGGAAAAACAGTAGCTTTTAAACTTAAAATATATTTAATTAGCTAACGAACGGTATAATAGCAGATGATAAAGTGAAGTAAGTGACTGAAAAGGAATTCACTTGTTTGTGTTTGGCGCGCTTTAAGGGTTGTTTCAATTTCAAGCCCGGCGATGTTCCTCCTCTTACGCGCTGAAATGAACTCTGTGTCCGAAGAGGTGGAGCCAAGTTCCAACTCCTGGTGAACGAACTATACCTTTATTATAAGATACCTTTTATTTTTGATGAACACTAGGGGGAAAAAATGCGCTCACTCGGAATAAAGTTTGAATTAATGATTGGATTTCCAAGCTAAATTTTAGTAGGACCTAACCTTAAATATGCTAAAATATTTGTTTAGACGATATTTTGTGAACACGATTGAAAACACAGTTTCTGTGAAGGAACATACATTTTTTCGACGCATTTGGAAAGTTGACCCCCAAAATAGGGTATGGAGAGAATAGCAGCAATCAGGTAAATATTGTATCAATGGCTTGGTTTGAAGAAAATGGAAGGAAAAAGTAGAAGTTGTTGGAAGAAGAAGTTTTGCGTACTTCACAATATATTGAGAACTAATTAGGCGAATCAAAAATTTTTGCACACTAATAAAATGTACTTATGTAATTATATGTCCATGCAAAAACAATTTTTATAAAAATTTTTGTATCATTTGTTTTAATAGTGAGGTAAAAAATATTAATTTTAATTTTAAATTATACAAATTTTAAAATTTTTTTAATCACCTTAGTTTTAAATAACAAAATTAAAAATTTAAATGGAATTTTCTAATCAGTTTCTCATAAATAAAAAATTTGACTTCTGTGAAATAGTAAAATTAGAGTTCCAGGTTTTCAAACTTCTCTTGCTTAATTTAGTACGGCTATGTTTTCCTGATTGCGGCTACGATTTTTAAATGGAATCACGAATCTGATCCCATCGAGAAAAAGAGTAAAGAGACTAATGCTTTTGTGTCTTATTTCATAGCTTAAAACACTGTCTGCACTAATTTATTATCACCTTTAAGGCTGCTTTTAGTCACCTTTAAGGTTTGCTTTAAGGTTGCTTTAGAAAATACGACCATTAGATCAAAAGTTATCCGGTGAAATTTTTGTTTATTAATTTTGCAAACGGTACATTGTTGATATTTGAACATCGAAAATAACTGTATCTAGTGATAATAATTGAGCAATACCTTTTTTGTTTTTATTTTTTCGGAATGTTTTGACGAAGTAACTTTTTTTTAAGGTTTCCTATCTTTCCAAATTCGGTACCAATAAAACATTTGAGATTTAAAAGTGATTCGTTATCCTTTCTCAAATTCTGGTACAATACCCTACGGGAAAAAAAATTCCAACATGAAAAAAAATAATAAAAAACATAACTGGACAGATTGGTTACGGCGTGATATATAAGTAAATCTGATATGATATCGATTACATATACTATATATGCGTCGACTGGTATTGGTTTTCATAAGTTTGATAAATGATGTACTGACATGATACTGTCATGCCGGACTAATACTGTCTGGGTATATTTTAGGTATGATATCGGTTTCAGTATGATAGCAATACAAATGTTTCTTAAATGTTATATTTCTTGTAAAATACATAATTATTTTGCCTAATAATAAATTTATAAAGTACGTTATAATAAGTCGTACAGCACAAACATATAATAAATGAATGCAATTTAAATAGAAACTTTTAAATAGAAAAAAAAGACAGTACATCATTTCGCCATTTAAATAATATTTAAATATAAAAAATGTTACTCTTACCTCGAAAATAGTTTATTTCATTGTTTAAATAAAATATTTTTAGCTGTTTACTCGTATCTATCAATAAAATATTAAACATTTCTAATATTTTTTTTAGAAAACAATGTAAACATTAAATCCGACACGTTTTAAAATGTTGCCATCTCTATTAAACTTTTATAAAAATAAAAATTTTAAGCTTTATAACAAGTCCAATTTACGTAGTTTAGTGTAGTTAGGTCTTGTTTTGTTAATTTTTTTGAGAGTAATGTGAAAAATACAATAACATTTTTATCAAACAGTACACATATCGTTTTAGCTGTTATTTTCCAATTTTTGTATTTTTAGTATTTAGTAACTGCGATACGAGTCCATCAATTCTTTTTAAAATTTCAAAGTTAGCTAAAGCACAGCAATTTGAAAGCAGAATTCAAAAATGAAATTTCAATTCTAATTTCCATTTTAGTATGGAAATATTGAGATAAACTGTCGCAGATAATAACTATATTTTCCTGGTGAGCTAATTTTTACTGCTTTGACTTGAGCGATATTTTAAGGTATATTTATCATCACTTATCCTCTACATTTTTAAAATAACATATGAATGATTAAATCATGTTTAAATATATTTACAATATGTAAACTGTAATTTGTAATAACATAATAATAGAAGGGGTAGACTATATTTGAGGGTGCCCCTTGATTCTCGCCAAGTTGTGAACGCCAAGCTGGATGATGTTGAAACCCACTTGTGATTCTAATTTGTTTAGATTTTAGTGTTATTTTTAAATGTTCAACGGCATATGTAATTTCAGAGGTCCGTTAGTTCTACGTTGGATACCGGCTGGTAAGGTTACTTTTGCTTCTGGTCAATAAGATCGAAAGTATGTGGGCAGTCATAAAAAGGGACTTTCGGAAAAAAATGTCACCGCCAGTCTGGTACCCCAGACGCCATTTTCAATTCGTATTTTGCCGAATTTATGTGGCGATGGAGGTACACAAATTCTATTCATGATAAATTTAGACAGTATCTAACTGCTATTAGAAAATTCTGTGCACCTAAATCTGAGGATATTCAAGCTTAATGAAGAAGTGAGTTGTTTTTTTCCTTTTCTTTCTGCGCTTACTTCATTAATTTTTGTTTCGATTCAAAATGCATATTATTGGGTTCATTGCAATTTTATAAAGTTCTGGCCGATGTTTTGTTGAAATTTTTCAATGTTTTATTGAAATATCATTATGTTTTGGCCGCCATTCCTGTTACCACGGTGTTCCGCCCAAACAGGAATGGCGCCAAACATAAAACGCCAATTTCGCCCAGGGGCACCCTCACGTATATTTTAACCGATAAAAGAGTTCTTGATAACTATTTGCTGATTTTTTATCAGATAAAATTTCTTGTCTTGCGAAAAAAAAAGCAAGGATTCGTCAATGATTCAAATCTTTGTCAATTCACGAATGTCTGAGCTGTAGCTGCGCCATGGAAAAGATGGCGCCTCGAAGAGCTTTGGCTTGGCGATAATTTTTGTTTAGTTTTGCTAAAACACTGTTTCTGGCTACCATGTCTGGTACTTTGCAATCTTTACTTTCAGTGACCTTCGGGTTACCGCAATATTTGTCTACCGTTATGTGATTGGTTCTAGATTTATATATTTTTTTATCATACATATTTAGTTTTTAAGCAATGAATTTAGATTGCATTATCTATACCCGTTTCTGGGGATTATAAGAAAATCGCGATTCTATTATTGACACCAGTTGTGCTTGATCAATTTTTGCAACAGGTAGTAGTGGTATTGTGGTAATAGATAAGAAGTAGTAGAATAAGTTTTTTACGACCCCTGGAAAAGGATAATTTATCCTTATTGTCTTAAATGTAGTTGAACTAATCACCAACTTCGTAATATCTCTCCTCATTAAAATATGTATATTTTTAGAATCATTTGTTAAAAATAAATCAGTTTTCTCATTTAAATATTAATTTATGATCACCTTACGTTATATAAAAAAACATCTTTCTGCTAGTATTACGCATTTGCTATAACTTCTGTGAGTTCGTCGCATTCATATTTGTTCATCTTTAGACAGCGCTTCTATGGTGATGATAATAAAGATGGCNATTGGCTTCTGAGCGACTCATTTGTTAATCTTTAGACAGCGCTTCTATGGTGATGATAATAAAGATGGCGTAGAAATTTATTCTAAAGAAAATCTGTAGCTTTTTTTTAAAAAACTTACCTGTCTTTCTAGTTCTTATCAATATTTCAAAAGTAATTCCATCCCTGCATCATCAAAAGAAGCAAGCTGAATATTAAATTATTGATTTTCCTCCAGGTGATCTCGACGAAGGAGATATTTTAGCTATTATTAATCATTCCCGTGAAAAGGATTAATAAAATTTTAATTATTTTAAATATTTTGCTATTTTATACACTTTAAAAACTGTGGTGTAAAATCTCTCTAAATTTGATGTAAGACAACCCAAAAATTTGTGTGAAAGAACACAAGGAACACTTTCTTTCAAACTAACGCTAAATCGAGCTTTCATATACATTTGAAGGGTGTAAATAAATCTAAGTTTTATAATGGAGAAAGCTTACATGGTACTTTTCCATTTCGCCTGCGCAGGCGATAAAGTCGCCAATGTAAACTTTACGTGCAAGTAATTTAAACTTTTCTTTCTTTTTTTTAATAAATAAATAAATCGATAAAATAGCCTAAATTACTTGCTCCGGAGAAATGAAAAGTACCGCTTACATCAAGCTCATGCGAATTCACACCAGAGTTGGCCGTCGATTACAGTAATCGATTACAACTGTAATTGATTACAGATAATTACAGCTATGTAATCAATTACTTGTAATCACGATTAAAAGTAATCAAAATTTTTGATTACATCAGAGTGGAGCGAAAATGTAATCAATTACATTTCTCAATTACAGTAATCAATTACTTGTAATCATGATTACAAAGTTTGATTACAGATGTAATCATGATTACATAGTCGATTACAGTAATCAATTACTTGCAATAACAATTACAACTTTCAAAAAATTTTGATTACAGCTGTAATCATGATTCCAAGCAATTGCGATTACAAGTAATCACAACAAAAATGATTACGGGTAATTATGATTACAAGTAATCAAAATATATGATTACTTGTAATCATGATTACATGTAATTGTGCATACTTGTAATCAAACTATACGATTACAAGTTATTACGATTGTATACTATATGCAAATTCATTATGCAAGCATGTATGAGTTTGCATATTTTTATGTACATAGAATGTACACACGTATGAACGTACAATTTGTGATTCCTATATATATAATGTATGCACAAACGTTGTTTGTACTACAATATAATATACATAATTATATTGTAATATACTTAATGCAATACGTATATGCTTAGTACATATAATTATGCATTTATGATACATGTACGCATGTATGTTAGTTTGTACGAAAATGCAATGTTTTGTATCTTTGTATACATAGACAATATATGTATGAACGTATATGAAAATAATGTTTATACGTTTGCATGCTTTTATGTACTTAAGTACATACCTTGTATAAATTTACGATAATAGCAAGTATATACAATGTACGTATGTATATAAAATTGTACGTATTTGCGTACAATATGTAAGAATGTTGTTTAAATGTACAATATATGCACATAGTTACGTAAATAAAATGCATACATGTATGAATGCACATTTATATGTACATCGACATATGTTCAAGCAAAGTATGTACTTATGTAGAACGTACGTATGTACTTGTATAACTACATACTTTGTTAATACTTATGCGCATGTAATGTATTGATGTACAAAAAAAAATAATTATATGCACAATGTACGTATGTACATTCAACGTATACATGTACATAATTACAAGTAATGTACAAATACATGCGTATATTTAAATATATGTAATTACAATATACTCATACATTGTGCATGCATTAAAAAATTATATAAGTAAAGTTACTGAAGTTAGTTTTAAAATTTATTCTAAGGCATATAAAACTCGACCTCATATTTTTTAGAAAGCAAACGATGTTCTTATTTTAAATTTCTAAATATTATTTCCACACATAAAATTTACCGTTTTTTTTTTGCCATTTAAAAAATTTCCATGAATCATGCATTATGTTATAAAAAAATAAATCAGTATTGTCAAGCATTTCATGAAAATACCTGAAAATAATTTTTTATTCAAAGAGTTTTAAAATGATGTAGAACAATTAAAGCTGAAAACTAAATTTAAATATCGTTTGATTTTGTCATTTAACTTGCTTGAGTCATTATAAGTTAACTTACATGCATTTTATTTATTGCATTGTACACATATTTAGACATAAATGTAATGTACATATGTATACGTGTAATGTATGTACGCATGTACAATGTATGTACATACATTCATGTATTGTACGTGCATATATAGTACATATGGATATGCATACATGGAACATACGTGTATTGTACATGTGTGGATACATTCATTGTACATATATACATTGCACCATATGCATAGATAGGGATAGCATGCATGTACACATGTAAAATTTGTACGAAAGAATTATGCCCAATATATTTATGCACATACGTACTGTATATGTACACACATATGTACATTATATGAACATTATATGTTCATTTCATCATATGTACATTATATGAATATACATCTGTACGCTATATGTATATACATCTGTACGCTATATGTATATACATCTGTACAATATATGCATCTCAAATGTGTGTATGTACGTACGTTATGCATGTCGAATGCATGTATGAATATATGTGAAATATAAATACGCCCAATGTACGTACAATAGTTCACAAATGTATTATGCATATTTGGATACTTACATTGAGCATGAACATATTATGTACATGTACATAAATACACTGGACATGCATATCATGTACATGTATACATACATATATTGTACATCCTACAGATATACCTATATTGTACATGCATACATATATTGTACTGTTCATAAATAAATTGCACATACATGCATGGGACATACATTGTACAGACAATGTATGTATGTTTGTACAAACAACAAGTACTTGTATATACACGCGTACATAAACATAAATATACATTTTACATACACAAATACTTGCATAAAATGCATATATTCATTGTGTATAAATGTACATGTCTACATTGTTTGCACATACATACGTAATTATTAGCTATATACATACGTACATATATTTAATACTTACAAAATAAGTGTATCTACATGTGTGCGAAACTAAAATGTCTGTACATATGCACTAAATAAAATCATATGCACATACATTTTAGTTACATTCATTTGTACGTATGTAATACATACACGCACAAAATGCAACACATGTAAATACGTGCAAAATGTATCGAATACATTAGAAAATACATAATAAAATACATTACACTATCTACTGTAAATATATAAACATTTATAAGAATACAATAGTCTTGTAATCGTGTATTTAGATTACATGTAATCATAATTACATGTAATCAAATGACATGTAATCATGATTACATGTAATCATATAATTTGATTACTTGCAATCATAATTACCCGTAAACGTTTTTGTTGATTGCAGTTGTAATCAAAATTTTGATTACAGCTGCAATCAAGATTACAAGTAATTGATTACTGTAATCAATATTGTAATCATGACTGCAGCTGTAATCAAATTTTTTGAAAGTTGTAATCACGATTCCAAGTAATTGATTACTGTAATCGACTATGTAATCATGATTACAGCTGTAATCTAAATTGTAATCACGATTACAAGTAATTGATTATTGTAATTAATATTGTAATCATGATTACAGCTGTAATCAAAAATTTTGAAAATTGTAATCATGATCACAAGTAATTGATTACCGCAATCAAAAAATGTAATCTATTACATTTTTGGCCAACTCTGATTCACACCATGCGTGAATTATTTTCGTTTCCGAAAACTTCAATGTTGGCACACTTAGGATATTGTCAGTCGATTGCTTACAATCGGAGTACGAGTTGGCATGAGTTTGTTGTTGACGATCATGCTACTTAAACGTCTATAGAAACGAATGAGTGCACTGTTAAAATCAAAATGCAATATTTTTAGTTGAATATTAAGGTTATTTATAATATTTTATAATTATAATTATTTATAATATTATTGTATAAGGTTTATTTATATAAGGTTATATGTATATAAATAACCTTATATTGATAATATAAGGTTATTTACATTATTTATAAGGTTATTAATATTATAAGGTTACACACATTAAAGTTATTAGTTATTTATAATACAATTATTTAGTTGTATATTAAGATTATTATAATAACCTTATAATATATAAGGTTATTATACGAGTATTATTAACATTTATTATTTAATTTTTAACTCGCTTTGGAAATTGTATTAAATGAGCTTATAATGCATAATTTCTATTCGCTTTTTTTCCTTTAAGCTTATTTCGAATCCGTCTTAATATTCTCAATATGATACGAGGTAAACAAATTTTATTTTAAGAATTAGTGCATTTATATGCATCCAAATTAATGATTCTTCCTTAAGAATGTATCGTATAAAGAACTTTCATATTATCTTACTGTAATAAATTGCAGGTTTATTATTACAGAACAGTTGATTATCAAAAATGGTAGCAGTTACTTTACACCAAATAATGCAAAAGAACATTCATTGTTTTACAGCACGATTAACTATCCTGGGTTCTTAGTGTATAGGAACACAGCTTTTTGTAAAGTAGTTGCCACCATTTTTTGGTGTAATGTACACAAAATTTTTTTTATGCGTATTTATCTCGTTAATTCTTTTGTATAAGTGCACAATAATGAAATAAGTTTGAAACTCCTTGTTAGTTTCATATTGCATGACTAATCAATTTCACTTATCGAAAAGCTATTATTTTTCTGTATAATATAGAAAAAAAATTCATTTTGATAATTTAAATGGCATATTACATTTGGAACACTACATATATTTATATCTTATAGGACATGTTTTGTTTTCAGTAAAAAGAACAGTATGATAATTAGGAACAATACAATATTTCATTTTATGTTAAAGTGTAAGATATTTAAGTCAGATACATTTCAGTTTCATATGTATCATACGTTTTTGTTTCACATTTATGATACATTTTTGTTTCATATTCAGGATATAATTTTTTTTCTTAACATTTATGAAATATTTTTGTTTTATATTTGCAATACGTTTTTGCTTTACATTCAGGATTTAATTTTTCCATTTTTAGAAAACCATTTTGTTTCATTTATAGATTATGCATACTTTTGTTTTTATTTAGGATGTCCTTCTATCTTTAGGTAACATTTTTATTTCATATTTAGGACAGATTTTTGTCTACAATTTTTTTTGGAAACGAGATGGATGAGCCGAAAAGGGAAAATAAGCCTTCAAATTACAGATGTGAGTCATGTTATTTATTTTGTATAAATCTCAAAATTTTAAAAAGATGATTTGAAAACAGACTCACTGGAGACTTAGATATTTTAAATACGTCTTTCAATGTTTTTCTCTTTTAAACTTGTTTAAATGTTTTATGGCTCCGTTAATGCAAAAACTTTCTTTTTTCACTTTGGGCAGTGCTCAAAAAGAAAAACGGACCACCTTGAATAACTTTTGATTTAATGATCGGATCTTCACGTTCTAGGACTTAATCTTAACTGCTCAAGGGGGTGGTCTCAAATATGCTGATTAATATATGCAGACAATATTTTAAGTTACGAAATCAGATACCAAAACGTACTTTCTCTGAATAAGCATAACTTTTTTAAAACGGATTCGGATTTCTGACTCCCAAAATATAGGGGTAGCCACAATTCGGGAAATAGGGTCCCAAGTTTGGGCCCCTTTAAGTTAATTTTACTTTTTGCTCATTTCGCTGTATCTCGAGAACTTTCCAAGCGATTGAAAAAATTTTGCGCACAGCTATAAAATTCGTTCGTTCAAAGATAATTCCGTGCAAAAAATAATTTTTAGCAAACATTTATTATTTTATGTAAGAATGGTCGAAAAAATTTTGAATTGAAATATCTACAAATTTTCTGGATCATTTTAAAGAATATTATTTTGCATGGCAAAGTACAAAATCGGTTGAATACTTCCTGAGAAATTGAATTTTTAAAAAAATCAAATATTTAAAATTTTATGTCGGACAGTGAGATCAAAGATAATCCTGAGTTTAAACTCTATATTCACGCTAAGTTGGTGTCTCTACAGGTATCTTGTGCTGGTTCTGCTGGCCGAAAGAAACGGATAGCGATGTAGAAGCAGAAGGCTTTCCCCGCTCTGTCGATGATGCTCTGCAAGACAACAGAGAAGCGCAAAAACTTATTGAATCTTAGGCAAAAGACAGTCAGACTATGTTCGACAAACATCCAAAAATCTCGTCGATCAGAATAGAACTAAGTAAAAACGAAACGGTATGATTTATTTTTCAGGTTTGTCAAACTTTAACATATATCACGAAAGAAATGGATGACATCACGTTAACTTAGCTTACGTTGATTATGTGAAATGTTAGACAAGAGTTTTAAAATATTTATGTATTTTTCAGTTGTTTAATAAAAAGTGTCCTCACTTTTTCTTACATTATTTCTTTCATCCATTTGCACTGTTAGGAGCTAGCAAACCTCTAATACCGAGCAAATGTATACTTACATTTTGTGTCAACAGCCAAGTGTGCATTCTCACATAAATTCATTCGAAGATATTTTATAGATTATTTATTTACAGTTTATGGATGATATAATATTACAGCATTATACATTTTTTTCATTCTACATATTCATTGATAAAATAATGTCCAAGCATAATGTATAAAACTTTCAACATTAACAATAATGAAAATGACAATGTAAGAAGATAAGAGATCCTTTGCGATTCAATGCAAAATGGCATGAAAATAAAGTTAATAAATAAGAATCAAAGTCTTCAATTGTTGTTTTAAGTAGATTTCAATTTAACGCCAGCAATCATTTCAAGCTCATCACATTAAAATACTTTGGAATGATAGGAATGACTAACTTCTTTTGAGTGTAATGGAATGATTTGAAATCGTCAAAATAAGAATGCAAAATTCCCTTGCTTTTTTTCTTTTCAGTTTGACGAAGAATCTCGCAATATACCAGCAAGAAAATAAATTAGTAAAATACGAAACAAACTGGTTTTAATTTGAAAATCAAGGAGAAAAATCCATTGTAGAATTTTCTATTCAAATTTATTTCTATTCTTCTTTAGCTATCAATCGAGGCTTTAGAAAAAGAGTAGGGAAAAAAAAACACGATGTTGTCGTTTTTCAATGTTAAAGTCAAAGACTAATAGCATAGACTGCTTACTGTAAGTTCTTTGCGAACAGAAGCATATCACACATCACGTGTGAAATGTTGAGACAATGTTAACTCTATGCAGAGGCCATGTCTAAAGCTAATTATCGATCGCTCATGTTGGCGTAAATTGGCGGAGATTTCATAGTTACTACTCTATCTACATCGAAACCATAAAAGATTATTCTACTTTTCAAGTAAGCATCGATATTTCTGAAAAATTGCTTGAAACAATGAAAAAAAATTTTTTTTTTCTCAATCAACTGGATATTTGCAAGCAACGTCAACCTGTTGAAACGTGGTATTTGTTTATGTTAGCAACAGTTCTTTCCATTCTACTTCAAGTAAAATTAACCCGTCAAATATGAATTCGATACGCGATCTCGTAATTGATTATCGTATAGAGTGATAATCTCGTTATTAATGAATTTTTGTAAATTAATGGAATATGTAAGTAATACTTCGCAAAACAAAAGAAGGGAGCTTTTAGTTTTCCTTTATCAACGAAAAGAAGCCGGCAATCTTATAGCGTCATCCTGCTTATATGTCCGAGATTGTATGTCAGGTCAAGTTGAGTGCATCCCGTTATTCATGACTAACACAACAATAATTAGCCAATGTTGATTACCATTTCTCTTTTGAGTCGTGAATTTTATGGCAGATATTTTCCTCAATGTTAGGGCGTTTTTAGCACATGATGACTGTCTATCTATGTTGCTATTCTTAAGATAAACTTTGGAAAACTCTTTTTTTTAAACTGAGTTTTTAAACAAAAACGTATCACATGCCAAATAGATAATATGGTTTTAAAGTTCTTTTATACAGTTGGAAACAACAGATTTAAATTGTAGAAAATATGTAAAGAGGAATAAATAAAATAATCTTTTTCTGACCTGATGATAAAATTCTGTAATAACCTGAATCAGAATGATGGACAAGCGTTATTCTGACTCAACTTATCACTGAAATTTTCATCACCTGGTTAGAGACTAAGAATAACAGGTGAAAATAGATATCACAAAAGTTAACATGCAATAAAATCTTTTGATCTAGCATTCATGAATTCAATGCCGTGACGATAGATTGATTTGTGGAAACATGCTTACGCAATAGTTAAACGGTTCCTTTTGATACAAGATAAGTTACAATAAATTTAAAGGTTTTATATCGGAATGGATAAACAAGTAACTAAAAAGAGCCGTTCACACACTGAAAATATAGGTACACTAAAAGGCCATTAAAAATATCTTGAAATAGATCTCTTAAGTAGTTTTTTTAAAAGCTTTCCATAGTTATAGAGGATTACTGAATAGAGAATAATAATCTGAAATAAAACTCATCAAATTAGCCTTCTCATTCTCGATTAGGGCTAGATATAACTTTTTACTCTAACGTTTGTGGGGGGCGACAGAACTCGGAAGGTCGCCAAATCAGGTTTCCGAATTGTAATAACAAGGATGAGTTATGAAACTATGGTTCACTTTGAACTGATATATGAAATCAAATTTCTTGGATGCTTCAATTCAAAACCAAACCTTTCTTCAAAAACCAAAGAGTAAATCAGAAAAGCAGTCATACCAGAATTCTGGATATTCTTTCCCTGCGAACCTCTTCAAATTTGAATCCGTAATCCAGATGTGTGGTATCTTAAGTGAGAAATAATGCCCGTAAAAAAAATCCGTCGTATAGATTACAAGGTCTCTTCATATTGTGCTTGTTCGAGAGCTCGAATTTCTGCTTCATACACCAGTCTACTCAACTCCATTTTTATTTTGGCTTGATCCACAGCAGATAGCCTTTTCACGGTTTCACAGATGCTGAGGAAGAACATGTCTATTTCATCCTTACCCCTATGGTGGTGCATGGTTGCGGCTCTATCCAGGGTGGTGCACCGTCTCTTCGGATATGGGAAGTAGTCGGCATTGTCTTCGCGAGGTTCTGTCTTTGTGACAACGCTCGACGTTTCTGGCAAAATCATTTCAGAACTGTCCTCATGTTCCATCAGAATCGGACTTCCCAAGTCATCACCGTTGTACGTAGCTGACACGTTGCTCAAGGAGGTACTGGATTGCTCGGCGCTGTTGTTATTGTTTTCTGAAGACCTGCAAAAGCAACCATTATTGACTATGCATTTTTATAAATCCCGTTTATAGTCAAGCAATTTTTAGGACTCTATCTAATAAGAGGAGTTTACCACACGCTTGAGTGAAAATCTGCTAATTTTTTCTTCGTAGAAAATTCTGTAAGGCGACATTTAGAGCAAATTTTTAAGGAAAAAAACTCTCCTTTCTTATTTATTTGAAGCGGTTTCGTGCTGCAAACGGGAATTGGAGTTTGGAGCAACAAACCAGTTAACTATACCTTATTCAGGTTGCTCCCTCATAGCAGAAGAAAACCCAAACTCTTCCGTGAGATTCGGCTTTACGTTCATTGGCCGTGATTGCACTCATTGAAAATTAATGAATCATTTAAATTTAAAAGAAAAACGATTATTAGACAATTCTTCTTATTTTAAAAAAGTAATTTTGGTTCATTTTAATTTTTAAGAAATAAATATTGCCTATTTTTATTGTTATCGAAAAGAATGAAGGAAAAGAATGCGAGTTTGGGAAGAGTTAGAATTCTTTTCACCCCCAGTTAAAACGAGCTTTTGAAGCCTTCAATCAGCAATCCAGTTTCGTTGCAGAGATCAGCGCTTACTTTTATACTTTACATCACAAAGCTGTTTTGATTTCACAAACAGGCAAATACGAGATGTGTGAGGGTTTTACACTAATTCCCTGCTCTCAAAAATTTTTTAAAAAGCTTAATGAGAACTCACGATCGAATTTCGATGAAGGGTAGAAGAAAAGACATCTCGTCTTCATATTTCCACTTTGGAATGTTCTTATTTTGACGTCTGTTGATGGCGTTCAGGTAACAGTTCCGCAATTTTCGCCACATGTCTTTACATTGAGAAGCTGCAACAGAAAGAACAGAGGTCTTTTAAGGTACTTTACATTAAAAACATATATTTGAACACATTCACTTAAATGTTTATTCTGAGTCATTTAAAATTAACCTAGATCCGGCAACAATGCGCCAGACGCGACGTCAAAAATACTAGATGACGCATTGCAAATAACAAACAATGCTAGAAATTAAGTCTGATACAGAAATAATGGTGAGAACAAAATGGTGGAAAACAGTCATGTCGAGGATTTCGCATTTACCTGAAGAACATAAACCACACCAAGGTGGAACAGAGCTACAATGATCCACGAATTTTTTTTCATTTTCATATAAATAAAATTTAATCTCTCAAATTTAATTTAATTTACTCTAATTAATATTTCCTCCCTTAGAATAACTTTAAATCCATTTCATTCGTTTTTGGCGATACGTTATTATTCATGAATATCAGCGGATTTTAACTTTAACAAAACCTGCTAAAAATTTGAAAACTTAATTAGAATTTAAGTTTTGACTAACGATAACCTCTTCACCATTTTGTCACCCACAATTCGTCGGGAAACAATCCGTCGTGAGCGCAATTCCTGGCAGTGACGATTCAACGTGTGCTCAACTCGTCGCAAAGACGTGGGTTCAATTCGTCGTGGGCCCAACTTGTTGAAACAACAACTCGCGACAGTTCTTCATATGAACAATCTCCGGTTTCCATAAAATGCATTTTAGTCTAGTAATTATAGCAATAAAAAGGGTGTTTCTTCAAAAAAATTAATACCTAAAATATTTTTTTGGCAGAAAGCTTTTTTATGTCATTACATAAATAATACCTGAAAACTCGTCCCCCGTTTGCTTCTCTCTTTTTTCAGGAAAATCCAATATATTTTTCAAGCTGATTTGATTGAAACCAACTAACAGATGTTCAGACTAATAGTTTAGAAGTTATATGGGTTTAATGTACAAAAAGTACGCATTTGCATTCATACCTATCGACACATCTGATATTGTTATCGAAAAAGTGAGACACTGTTTTTTTTATGGCTTTTTTTTTACGTTGAATCGAATGAGACTGTCAATAGAATGACTTGTCTAATATGTATAAAAAGAACTTTTATTGACACGTACTTATGCATACTTTTTACATTGCTATATGGAAGTACATTTTCCGATGTAATTTTTCACGCTGAATTGAATGAGATAAGTTCATAAAAAGTACAATTGGTACATTATTTTGGTTTTGTTATCGAAGAACTGGACGTTTCTAATTAAGCCTAAAATATTTGCTATAAAAGCAGTTCAGTAATAAAATAGTTAGTTCCTTAAAAAAAAAAGGTTTTAATGCATAACAAGAAAAAATAGTAATAACCGCTTAACTAACGATTTAGATGTTGGGCGGTTGTTTAAAACTTTTATCCCCTGCGGTTTCCCTAAAATTCGATTAAAAGGGTAGTATATTCTTTCACTTAATTAATTTTGCTTTTTTTTTTCAAAAAAAAAGTTACGAATGTATAGTTTGAAAGCATTCGAGAAATTTTGTTTCATTTAAATTTTCTCTTACTTTTAACTCGTTTCATGATTTTTTTTCAATTTAATTGTTTAATTTATATGCTTTTTCCTGTGTTTAATGATATAAAGGAATGTTATAAAAATATAAATAACTTTCCAATAGTTAAGTTCCAAAAATAATTGTCTGATTCGATTTTAAATTATATTTCACTTAAGCAGTACTAAAAAACTCAAGAGATGGTTGACTTGGCTTAAATTTTTTGATATTTTCTTGATTGTAATAGGAAAATATTTAATTTAATTTAAACTGCCAAGTGATATGTTGAATTATTTTTAATGTAAATACATAAAACTTTNTATATATTAGGGTATTGTAAAGGAATGGTTATAAAAGGGTATCATAACTAAAATATTAAAAGGTTTAAAATTGGACAAAAAGTTTTGATTATTATCGTTTGTTCCTTTCCACCATTTTACTTATAAACGATCAGCTGACGTCATAGGTCACATGTGTAGGTATCCGTGGTCTTCTTCTTGAAGTGCAAGTACCCAATTGAAAAAAGATAACTTATCCGGTGGACGCATTGTTGTATTAAAATAATGGGTTGAAATTGTAAGAAGGAAAACGATTTTCGTTTATCTGTATTGATACCAGAAATGAATGAAAATGTATTTCGATCGACAAATAACGATTCTGTGTTTCTAACTCGTTATAAGCATTCCTATTTTTAAAATTGGATTTTGATGATGTCATCGCAAAAAACGGATGTATCGTAATAGGCCGTACTCGTAATAACGAGCTAATACATATATCTCCATAGGAATAAAAAATGTCTTCCTATCCTCACAAAAAGGGCACTTTAAAGTTTCGAAAGGACACTCACTTTACGAAGATCTGTGGGCAAGGAAAATAAAAAAGCCATAGTTTGAGTGCCTTACACTCGAAGTAGTACGATGATTTTAAACTATAAATACATATATAATATTGCCGTGAAGAATTATCTGGGATTTAGAACAGACAAATAACTTGAATATTTTAAACAAATTATTGAACTGTTTCAAAAATTGGCCATTTGGTGGCATCAAGATGAAAATTATCAAAATCACTGTCTTATTCTCAGTTTTCAAAAATTTTTATGAGCCCAGGTCATGCAGCATTGGAGTAAGTTTTTAAATATTAAAAAATCAGACCAAAGAAAGCTTTTCATTTTTACAAAACTGTGGCTTTTCTCCATATTGACGTGTTGCGCAAAATAAGTGTAGAAGTTAGAGAGGCTAAACTCAACCTAACAGTTGCAAACTCACCGCATTTATCAAAATAGCATATTATTCGCAAAAAAAGCATCATTTCATGTCACCACGGAGCCTTTGTTAATTAATAAGCCTATTTGAGGTCACCCCCTCGAACCATTAAGATTGAGTCCTAAAACGTGAAGATCCGATCATTGAATAAAAAGTTATTTAGAGTGGCCCATTTTTTTTTTATTTTGCGCACTGTTCATATTCTGGTGGTCATCATCTTTCAAATCCCATTTATTAAACAATTAAAAAAAAGTGAACACTCGCCATTCTTTAATATTTTATTCAAAACATTAAAATTACGAATTAATAAGAATTTTATAGTAAGAAATGCTCTGGAACGAATGTTAGCTATTCCAAGGTTAAGTAAACGGTTTCCAGAAAAATTAAAGAGCGGTAGCACTATTGTGGACATAATGTTTGAATAAATCTTTTACTAGTAAAGTAACAAAGATGGTTGGGATATTTTAAAACTGAAGCACATAATCTAAATTCAATTCCTAATAAAGAATCGATAACTATTAACAAGTTTTTAATTTAAAAAATTCACTAAAACATGGGTGCTTCTTGATTTCACAAATAAATGATTAAAGAAAAGATAAACTCTTTCATTTATAGGCTAACTCGAATGGCCAAGGTCATTTAATAGTTAATTTTTTAAATTACTTTTTAAAGCACTTTTTCATCAATCAAATTAAATTGCATGATTTATGTTTAAGAAAATCTGTAACTTCTCAATCAATCTATAAAAAAGCTTTTATACCGTACAATTTAAAGAAATTTTCATCATTAACAAGTTAATTAATTAAAAAAATTCAATTCATCTAACTTCCTTATATTACATAATTGTCTATAGGGCTTATAAATTTTTTGTTGCTGAAAGAATTATAATAGTTTAACCAATTATTCAAAAGATATAAAGAGAAACGTGACACAATAAAATAACACAACTTAAAACTTTTATAGCGGTTCAACTGTGAGAGCCAGCTTTTTAAAACTTTATTTAGAGGATGAAAAGCGAATTTAACGAATGTTTCTTCAGAAAAAGTGCGCTTTTTTGAGTAAAAATAAGCATATCCCGTCGCGGGTACAGTTAACTGTCATACATATTTTAAAAGATTTGCCTTCAAGCAACGAAAGTCCGGCCACCGTTCAAAAAAACATTCCGTGTTTTTATTTAGTTACTTTAGCTGACGCCTGACTGTGCATATTTGTTGAGTTTAAGTTTTCTACTATTCTCAAAAAAAGCAATGTAATCATTGTTTTAAATTTATATATGAACTATTTGTATGCATTAAAACTGTATTCTGACATCTAACTATACATCTTAGAATCTATATTTTAGGGTTAAAAATTTTTTTTGCAATTAATAATTAACAGAAGATATAAATCTTTTGATACTCAAAGAAGTACCTCAGCATTTTATTATTAAATATTTATATGCTAAAAAAATATTGATATTAGTTTGTTCTACAGTACTGTTAGAATTTTTTTCCCCTTTAAACCAGAGGTCGCCAAAGTGGTCTATATAGACCCCAGGGGTCTATTTAACATAAGCGGGGGTCGATCTGAGCCAGGGGGTCGATCCGAACCGGAAGGGTCGATTGATAGAAGGATTATCAGTATTTTTCAGATATGTGCCAATTAGAAATAAAAGAAGAAGACTTGAAAATATATACAGGTAATCTTCAAAAATTGAGCGACGATTTTAAACAGCGTTTTGTTGATTTGGAAAGCATTGACATCCCTGATTGGATTATTGAGCCATTTTCTGCTCAAATTGAAAACGTGGACATCAACCTGCAAGATGAGCTTGCTGAATTATTATGGGGATTTGAAGCAAAGACGCTTTTTAAAAATTTAACAATAAGCAAATTTTGGACAAATATAAATATAATGCAAAAATATGTAAGACTTTACGAAATAGCTCAGCCATTTATGATAGCATTTCCAAGTTCCTATATGGTTGAAGCCGGTTTCAGTCACGTAAATTCAATCTTAACTAAGAACAGAAATAAATTAAATGTGGAGTTTCGAGGGGATTTAAGATTAAAATTGACCAATTTTGAACCCAATATAACGAACCTTGCAGAAAAAAAAAAACCAGGCACACCCATGTCATTGATTAAGAAGCAATAAATCCGTAGTTACTTTACTTATTATTTCTACTTACTTATAATTACTTATTATTTCATAAATATTAAGGTATTTATATTTCAACATTAATATATTTCTCATAAAACTATTGTTACACTATGTACTATTACTTTAATAAATGTTCAATATCATAAAATAAATGTACAAACACAGTATCTAATAGAGTTTTATTTTAATTAACAGAAAATTACTTTTATGGGGGTCGATGGAGATTTCGAAAAATTATGTAGGGGTCGATGATCAAAAAAGTTTGGCTACTCCTGCTTTAAACTATATAGTTTTCGCATTGTTTTTCGGTTAAAAGGTGGGAATCGCACGTTGACTTTTTCCAATGCCGTAGATTGTAAAATTTAATAAATGATCCAATGCCAAAGACTAACGCATTATTGGAACCGTTAACGAATTTCGAATTCTAGAATCATGTCTATCCAGAAGATATTTGGGTCATAAATTATTGTGAATTAATATTCACATAATTAATCTAACGAAAATATTTGAAGAAAAACTTTTAAATACTAATAATTTTGCTGTTGCAAGGAAATCAAGAATGTGTCTTTTATCAAGATGCGGTAATTTCTATAAGTCGGGAATATTTTATTCTATGAATAAGTCGGGAATTATGAACGCAAAATATTAAATTTGCTTTAAAATTGTTAACGACTTATAAACTGCGAGGAATAAATGTAAAATAAATTTGAAGTCTTGGAAATTATAGTTTCTTTAGACTTGTAAAATTTAAAATTGATGTGTTCTATTTTAAAGACAGTTAATAGTAAAAACGCTTTTGATTAAATTTGTAAAACAATTAGTTTTTAGGAGTTACTATAAATAAAATAAAATACTTTTTCGGATAAATCTATGGCACTTAAGCATATATAGCACAATAAAGACAAAAAGGAAAAAAGAGAAAAACGAAGAAAATTAATAAGTTTTATTTACTGCGCAAAAGCTGCAAGTATATAGAACTCGCACTATAGAGAAAACATCGAAAATAATAAAGATAAATGAAAAGAGAAAAATATAAATAATTTTTTCTTCTTCTCTTTTCTTCAATCTTTATTATTTTCCATGTTTTCTCTATAGTTTTAACTTTAGATATTATCTCGATATTTCTAAGTTAATTGGACGCTAAAAGAATTTCGAGATAGCGAATTTCCGAGTTAACAAGTTTAGAACTAAATATGTTCTAAAAATAGAAAAATATTTTCGAAAATATTACTCTAAGAAGTCATGAAACATGAGAATAACTACTATTAAATAAGTATGTGATGATAGTTGATAATATGTCTAAATACAACAATGATAATTTCATTTTTAAATGTAAGACAAAAATAAGTATGAATTAAATAGAAAATAATTGGTTTACAATGAACTTTGTGAAAAAAATTTATTTTCTTTTCCGACAAATCAAAGTTTTGAGAATTCGACAAAGGAATTCAAATTGACATTAGGTGGATAGATGTAATGCCAAGGGGAAAAATATTTTTTTGACATTACAAGGTTTTCGAGATATCGAGAAATATTCATTTCATTTTATAGTATTTTAAAGTTACGTGTTATTAGAAAATTAACTATTTAGTTGGAGTCCAATTTAATATGCGAGCGGGACCATCTGTTTACATTTTAGTGGACGATCGTTTTCACTTAAAATAGAATATTTCATCTTTAATTAGTTAATAATAATATTTTTTATTAATACGAAGGAACAAATCGGAAATTCAGATAAAATTGGTAAAAAGAAAACCAGGAAAATAATATTTTAAAAATGAATATGCACTCCTAGCTTTCTTTGAGAAAGAAAAGAAAAGGAGAAGAGAAACGAAAACATAAGAACAATAACGTCACACGAAGCGAGTCTGAATTTTAACCCAAGGCGATAAATCAAAATGGTGCAACTATTTTACCTGGAATTCCAAGTTCTTTCCCAATCTCTGACCATGCCATGGCTCGCATATGCCGATCCCTATAATCAACAGCATCTAGCGCATAGAGCAGTTCATGTTCAAACACTTTCGATATTAAACGTTTTTCCATTTTTCATAAAAACTACCGAAATATTACAGAGATCAAAATCAAACACTGCCTACGCCACGTTTTCGAACATCGAACTGTCTATCACGCGCGACCAGAAATCGTTAATTGGCCCACAGCTAAATCGCGTGACGTATATGTAGCGTGAGATGGGGAAAGCTGGTTTTGCGAAGCGCGTATGACGTTGTGGGATATGTTTTTGTATTTTATTTCCTCGTCCAACGGAGCCGCAGATCGATACGGCTGAAGAGGTACATGCCGGAGGTGAGCGCATTGTCAAGAGGGCAAACGATGACGTGGCGTAGCGTGACGCCGCTGTTTCACACACCATGCAATCTTGCTCCTTGAACTTGTTTATCGATTAAAGAATATTTAGTGCTGCCAGCTAGCGATGAAAATAAGTACTAAAATTATACATTTTTTTTTAATCCTCTTTGGAATTAATTTAATAAGAAATTAACTTAATCACTGAGTGATACGAATTGAAAACGTTTTAATACATTATTATTACTTTTTAAAGTTTTTTTTAAATTTTTCTTAAATAATAAAGAAAACAAGCCATAGAAATAATTATTTTTATTAAATGAAATTCAATAAAAATATTTAAACTTATTAGATAAATTGGAAATAGAAGAGAATTTGTTTATTTTCTTTATACATTAAATTAAAAATAAATTTTAATTTGAAGGCGAGTAAATACAGAAGCAAAATCCTTGGAAATACGAAACGTAAAAGAACATAAATTTAAAATTCATTATTATTTTATTGATAAGCTGTAAATTACTGCTTAAATTAAATTGAGATAAATTATATTTTAGATAAATTAAAAAAAGTAAAAATTCTGTAAAATAAGTACTCCTCGCACCACATTTCTTTTTTAATTTTGTTCAATTTTTATTGCTGTGCAATAAGCAAAATTTTTGAAAATATTATATGTAACGTTAAGTTATAAAGAAATTGTATAACCTTATTTTTTGGGCAATTGTATTTTTATAAAAATAAATTATTATAGACTCGTATCAGATAAATTATTTGTCTATGCTTAATTGCTTAAAAATGCTCCTGCTTGTCTGGCTGCTAATTTCTATAAATATACTCTAAATTACAAAAGTATCTTAAAATGAAACCAATTTTTAATTCTTAATGATCATCCACTATGTATTCGTATGAATATTAAAATTAAATAATGAAAAAGGTGACCTAGATAAGCTATCTTTATTTGTTCTTAAAATAATTGTTACGCAATATATGATACATGAGACAAAAATGATATAATAAGTAATAAAAATGCTTTAGTTAATTCACACTGCAAATTTTAAAAAAAAAATAATCCTAGTCTTTGCTGAATTTTTTATTAAGGATATAATTACAAAATGCATCAAATAATTGTAATATATTAAATTTATTTCATTTCTTTAATAGTCATAAATTAAAAAAATTATTTTAAGAAAATACGACTACGAAGAGAAAATTAAACACTGAAAAATTCAAATTTATTCTTCATATTGATAAAGTAGGAAGGCTTAAAATTTTAAGTATTTATAATAAAAAAAATTTTTTTTTTACAAATTTCATTTTGATGAAATATGTATATGTAATTAAATTTAAAAAAAAATTATGCTGTAGAGTGTTTTGCAAATGATTTATTAACGAATATTTTTAATTGTTTACAAGCTGATCAGACAATTTCCTGATTTGCCAATGTGCTTATTTTCAAATTTTTATCTTTAATTATTAGACATCACAAAATCACTTATAATTACGATGGTCATATCGGCGCTTAAGTATTTACGTGTACTATTAATGACTAAATCTTTTTGTGACTACATCTTTTTAAGAATAAAAATTTCAATTTACAAAAAAAAAAAAAAAAAAAAAAAAAAAAAAAAAAAAAAAAAANAAAAAAAAAAAATTATGGTAACGCAAGTGTTTTGTATAAATGAAATTTAAATCGTAAGTTTTTTTAAAGCTAAAGTTGTCTGTAGCATAAATATATTTCTTTTTGGTAATAAACAAAACTGTGCTATTATTTTTTTTTTTCATATATTGTTTTTTTTTTATGTACTACAGAATAATTTTTAAAATCGGACTCTAAGAAATGAAATTCAAAAAATATTCAACATTTACCTGCTAAACCTTTTTACTTAGAAATATTTAATTTATACACATTACGATTTAATGGATGCAGAATTATAAATTTCATTGTTTGGAGACAAAATATATTCTTTAATGACTGAAATGCTTAATTAATATTGGTAATATGAATTAATTGAAATAAAAAAATATGTATTGAAAAGCAAAGTTAATGGAGCAAAGGTTAATGAGAAATTAGTTTAAGGGAACCGCGGAAAATCACCATTTGCCAATTAATTTTGGTAATATGTACTACTTGTAATTGGTGCAGCTTTGATAAAAATTCTACAACGTGTTTTCCGTAGTTCGGTAAAATATTTTTTCCAGTGTTTGCAAAGACTGTGTCTTAATATTTCAATGATTTAGAATTAAAAGAACTTTTTTCCACCATTACTTATAAATACATATTTTAAACAGTATGTTAAAAAGTCAGATAGAGAAATGGACATGTACTAAATTTCTCATCAAGGTATAATGAGAATTCTATTTAGTTTTTAAATATTTTTTTAGTTTCTGCCACTGATAAATGTATTTCGTACAAAACTCAAATGTTGAAGGGTTATATAATATATTACAAATGTACTAATATAAGTAAAAAGTATTTATTTATAAAATAGGTGAGTATTAAAACTGCACCAATACTAAGCAGTTTCAATACCGATACTGTGGAAAGTGTCTTTCGGCCCATCAAAAAGGATATGTACAGGAAAATTACTTGATACTAGTAACTTTTTGAGTAACATGAGTTGGTTAAGAGCTATAGCACCAGGCCTAGTGATGCTAAATGCAGTTAATCTCTATTGTGTTTCGATTAACTGCAAAAACTGAGTTTTGCATAAATGAATAACGTAAAGCTACAGGAAAGAGCAACAAATAATAATAATTTTAAAAAAATTTAATTATTTTAGCTTTTTTAATTGAAGAATTTAGTGGAAGAACCAGGTAATTCACATTTCGAGAGGGACTAGAATCAGGATACGAGAAAAAAGTTTGGCAGTTAGGGCAGATTTTAACACTACCCTCGAAAGAAAGAGACTTAAGGTGGCCGCTGGTAAGCACCGTCTGGTCCTTGCTGTTGCACCGAATGTTGAGTGCACCTCCTGGACGGGTGCTCTGGTACCAGTGATTTTGGGGGGGTGGGTACGAGCCAGGAAACATTGTCTTCTTTTTCGATACCAGTTCTATGAAGGTGAGTGACTTTGGACTCATCAAACTAATGTGGATTAGTCATGTTAAGATTAAACTGAAAGCAAAAGCAGCTGTGTCACATGAAACATATTCATATGAATGTAAGCACTTCATGTTATTTTATTAATTCCCCTAAAATATCACTTACCTGGTTCTTCCACTAAGCTCTTCAATTGTGTATGTATAGTTTTGAGTATGATTTCGTAGTGTTGCTCAAAACTGATTTAATGATTCTTTTAATTTATTCAACCCGTGCGAAGAACTAATTGATTAATAAATCTTAATTTGAAAACAACGTGATGCGTCCAACAAAATTTTACTTTTAAATTTCTGAGTGATCTTACTTACCCCAAAAATTGAAAAGTCTATTTCATTTATTCCTATTTTTGTTTAGGAGGGAAGGAGTGAATTATCTTTGACCAATAATCATTTTTTTCCTCTTATTATAACAAATATATTGATTTTGGAAATGTCTTAAAAGTAAATAAATGTTATATAATTATATAATAATGTTATAAAGATAATTTTTATTTTAACCACAGATATTTTACTCCTCTTTAAAATAATCTAGAAAAGAAACAGTTTAAAAACCTTTTTTCTTTCTCTTTTTGGTCAAGTTTTGACTAAGTTTTTTTTTCCAAGACAAATATTTTAATATTAAAAAAAAAAAAATGAATGGAATGAATATGAACTATGTTACATTAAAAATGTCAAATATTAATCGTTTCACAATGGAAAGAATTTCTTTTATTTCATTTTATCGTATGTATTACAACGTTTATACTTCTTCTCTCCACAGTGTCAAGTCTAGAGGCTGTATTGTTTGACATGTTGTGACAGGATTACTGAAAACAGAATAGACTAATTACTCAGCAGCCATAAATTGATGCGTTTTGCAGGATTATTGTTTTTTGGTGTAGTAATTTTACAGTTTTTATTTAAAATAAAATTGTTAAACTTAAAAAATACAGTTCAAAAAAAAAATTTGACTAACAACATATTTAAGCATATAAATAAGAAAACATGAAAATGATAATCAGGATCGGATGTTTCTAATTGCTGCTGGGCACATTTCGATTTTCAAAAATTTAAATTTTGCGAAAAAGGTATAATTAATCTGAAAAGATACGTTTTTGTATCGGATTCCGTAAATTTATGAAAAGTTTTAACTAGGTAACGTATTTAAGGTCTCTCCTTTGAGCCATGATAATCGATAGTTATTAAAAAAATTTCCTTGTCAAAGTTTGACATTTGAAAGTAGTTATTGAAAAAAAAAATTCTTTTAGCTTTAAAGTAAATTTACCAAAAAAATAATTTTATTTAAAGCACATGGGTCACCTGCGATCATAGAAAATAGTTTTTTTGGATACAGATAAATTTTCATGCTAACGAGATATTATGCTCGGTGTGCAAAATAATAATAAATAAAACAACACTTTAAAAAACTGTTGACCGAATGATTGGATTTTTACGCGCTAAGATGCAATTTAGTGATTTAAAGTACTAACCTTAAAATAAGTTAAACCATTTATGCAGATAATATTTTAAGTTATGGAATAGGAAGAAAAAAAACGGGCTTTCTTTGTTTAAAGAGGGCTTTATTTCGACGGATTTGGACTGTGCAACCCTTATAGTAGGGCGGAGAAGGTAGCCCAATTGAAAAAGAACGCCTTATTTCTAGCTTGACCACTTGTCACAGTTAGCAACATTTCTAGCTTGAAAGTTGAGTTAAAAATTTCAAGAAGAGGTAACTTTCCGTGAGGTCATACTTACGTCTGCACTAATCTCTCCGCTGATTGGGTATTGCTCAGTAGCTCGTACAATATCCTCAGCGGTAGACGGATCATGGGTTAGAGTCCTCTTGCCGTCAGCCTAATCATGGGAGGGTTTCGTGGTTTTACTGTCCCTGTAACACAAATGTCAGTCCGTTCCCACAAAATCGCTTCAAAGAAGGCCAATTTCTCACAGTACTTGAGTTCCCTTTTCTTCTGAATTGTGTTCAAAATGAGAACGAAAAATTTCTGTCGCGGTTAAGAAAGGACTGAAGCTGTCACCAGCACAGAGCTCAAGTAAAGTTTTAAGATATAATTGAAAAGTAGTCAAAATTTTCATTGGTGATAAAATGACGATAAATTTCGGAAAATGCTTGAAACTTCTTGAATTATTTATCAGGCAGGAGCCCCAGTAGAATGCACTAGCTTGTCCGAAAAAGTCGAAATTTTGAATCCGATAATTCCAAAGACCCATTAATGCACGAAAAGTGATCTATTTATAGAAAAACATCTGCAAAAAACAAGTGGTTTTGAGTTTAGTTTACACCAGGCGGTTATTACTTTCTTTTCTGTTCCTTAAGGTAATAAGGGACTTTTCAAATAAATGAAAATTCATCAAGAATTGGATATTCTTTTTTTTTATATTTAGGCATTTAACAAGGCATTTTAAAACAAAAACTTTTTGAATCGGAGCAAAATTGACGAAGTTATAGCAATTTTCGTTTTGACCACGCTATTTTGCTTACATTTTCTTGTCTGCATCTAAAGTAAGTTCTTGCTTGTTATTTTTTTTAAATTTCATATCATTTAATTATTTCTCCAGTTTATAAGATCGTATTTATAGTTATTTATGTTTAAAAAAAAGGGAAATATTTGTTCAAAAGTAGAATTAGCCATAAATTACTAGAAAAAGCTATTTTTCTCAAAATGTCTTTTTTGGCAAATTTACGAATGTCAAGCTGTTCCAGCGAAATGAATTTTAATTCTATTGAGCTGAAAATTTGATACTGTTTACTTATGAATGTTATTAACAATTTGCTGAAATTTTTTTTTTAATTTAGTAATTAATAATATGTGAACTTTTATTACAATCTGATCATTTTTTTTCTCCAAAAATGCTGGTTTTTGACAGCTTTTCTACAGTTATTTGTTTTTTATAGTAAAAAATAGAAAAAGTATTAGCAAAATTTTTTTTATGTCTCTAATATATAATATTTTGAAATAATTTTTTTTACTTTAACAATAATTTCAGACGCGAGGAATGATATAAATATTAATACAATCCCAAATTTTTATTTCTTTACATTTTTTAAATTTTAAAATATTTTCTTGAAATTTCGTAAATAAGTTGTCTTTAACCATATAAACTTATAATGAAAATTTCAAACCAATCTCTTGATAATTTCTAAAAATAAATAAATAAATAATTAAAAAAATTGAAAGCTCTTTGTCACCTTAAAAAAAACTGTATGCTGAATTCGCTTGAAAATTTAAGTATTCATGTTATTAATAAATTAGAAATTTCGGAAAAACTTGTTTTTGAAAAATAAATCCTAATAATGAAACTCTTGTGTCCATATAAAACGAAACTGTCTTTTTATAAGGACCCTAGGCACAAATAGGTTAATAAAAATGTAGTAAAATAACTAAAACATTGTAATTTACATCGCAGCACTATTTTGTTATCTGAAATTAAAATGTTTAAATTTCCTTAAAACCCATGGCATCACTCGAAATAAAAGTAGTCACGTTCCGCTTTGACGTCAGAGGAGGACAACAAGACTTCCTGTTAGGATATATAGTGATCTAGATTAGCTTGTTTTGCTCACTTCTTCCCAGGTACAGCCAATGGATGTCTGCGAACTTTATCATATCTTGTAGTGTCACAAAGCCAGCGAGCCACAGAGAAAGATTTAATGGTTTCCAATTGATCTAAAAAATATTTATAATGAATTTTTTTTTCTGAAGAAATCGAATGGCATACTTTGCCCCCACTTTTTTGGAAATATTTATGAAACTTAGATCAATAATTAATCATAGTTTTTTCAGATTATTATTTTTCACAAATGTTAAATAATGATAATATATTAATTTTCGATCTAATGATTGGGTTTTCACATACTAGATTCAATGATTGAATAGCCTAACTTTATGAGCTAATGGTTTTGTGTAGATATTTTAAGTTACGGCACAAAAACGTATTTCTCTAAATAAACATGACTTTTTTTTCCCACCTGATTCTTTACCCTTAAATTATGGGGCGGGGAGTAGCCTTAATCTGAAAAATATGTTCGCAATAATTTAGGTAGGAAAGTGGCCAACTTTTTGGACTCTTTATCATAGTTTTTCGAAGCTCTGTTGCCGAGGAAAGTCACAGTTTAAAGTGCTTTTTTTTATAGAATCACTTCAAGCAAAGCTATGATTATAAACTTCTTGTCATGAACAATTATCTGGGCTTTAGAACAGACAAATAACTTAAATATTTTAGAAGCTATTAATTTTTTTAAATCCCCAATTTGTCGACATTTTTTCACCTAGATGAAAATTGTCAGAATAACTGCCTTATTATCAGGTTTTGTAAAGTTTTATGAACCCAGATAATGCAGCATCGGTGCAAGTTTTTTATTAATAAAAAATTACACCACAAATGCTTTTTATTTTCTCAAAACTATGCTTATCTCTATTTTGAATTTTTGCGCCATTTTCAAAATAAGCATAGACTGCTCTGGCTTTTTACTCCCCTTTAAAGTCCATGTTGGACCATGGCCTCACTAACAATTTTTCTCCAAAGTCGCCTGTCTCTAGCTATTTGTTTCCAGTTTCGGACCTTTAGAATCTTAAGGTCTTTCTCCACCTCGTCTAACTATCTCTTGGCCGGCCTTCCTCTTTTCCTTTGGCCCTGGCACTGCCCCTTGAATATCTTCTTAGTGCCTCTGTTTTCCTCCATTCTCTCAAGATGTCCTAGCCATTGAATTCTCTTTGCTTTTACATAATTGATTATATCTTTTTCTTTAAATAGTCTTGAAATTTCGAAATTGTACCACCTTGTCCACAGCTCACCCTCTTTGACAGGTCCAGAAATAGTTCTAAGAATTTTTCTTTCCCAGGTAATCAGTATTTTTTCTTGTTTCTTGGTTGGAGACCATGTCTCTGATCCACAGATAGCAGTCGTGACAATAGCATATTATTCACAAAAAGCATCATTTGATATGACGACGGAGCCTTCAAAAAACAGCCTTAATGTCAATTAACTTTCTTTTTTCTTTGTCCATTCTACTTTACCTCCGAAATAAATCGAAGAAAGTTTTGACTCAACTATAAAACGACTTTACCCAAAGATAATTCTATGTAAAAATAGTTTTTTTTTTTGGCATTTATTATTTATTCTGCTTACTGCCGAAAAAAAAAGTTTGAATTGTTGCTGTAAGTCAGGCAAATTTATCTACAGTAGTTTATGTGGCAAAATCTACAATTCGAGCAAAATCTGACGAATAGTTCTTAAAAAATTGAACCTACGATTTCTTTGTGACGCAAAAGTGAACTCAACATGCCTTAATCCTTTGACCTTTCTCCCGACTTGGTGGGCACTTGGAACTATTGTCCATTGGCCACAGAAAGCGTCAGAACTGCCAACTCTCTTTTCGTTACCCAGTGGGCACCTGTGGCGAAGCCACGTCACACTACCACGGTCACATTCACACACAAAGGAGAAAGGACATAGAACACAGAGAGAGAGAAAGAATCATTCAGGCCTTGCCCGAGATTCGAACCCAGAACCTTTCTGATGCAAGGACAGTTCCCTGCCTCCTACACAGACCGGTCGGCGTATGTAGGGGGTCAATTGGGACTCTATTTTCAAGATTGCGGTTATCTCACCTATTTTGGAGGACAGAAATCCGTATGTTTATTCAGAGAATGTGCGATTTTGTGTCCGATTATGTAACTTAAAATAGCGTCGGCATTAACAAATGAACATATTTAAGGTTTGGTACACAAGCAATTCTGAATAATTTCGAGTACGTGTAAATCCAGTCTTTAGATTAAAAGTTATTCAGATAATCTCATTTTTACTTTGTGCTTGGTAAACATTCAAATTCTGTTCCTCATTTCAATTCTGTAACCTCATTTAAGAAATTTCGTGAATAGATTAACAAAATGGATATTTTCTTCTATTAGCTACCTTGGTACATCTTGGTTAAAAAATCACGACAGAATTTTTTATTTTGTGCACTGTACACTTTATCGGTAATAATTTTAACGGTATATGGTTTAGCTAAAATTGAACTGATCTTGAAAATTAATCTGATCTTTAATTTTAATTTAATAACTTTAATCTTTAATTTCGTGGTAAATGAATTTATTCTAACGATATTATTTTTAATGAAAGGAATTAATATTTTTGACCTAGTGTCATAAAGCTGTTATAAAAGAATAAATAATAAAAATAAGCTTGTTTTTACTATTAACTGTACCGGTTAGTGTTATTATTACCTAATACTCGTGCATTGCGTTGTGTATTTTTTTTTCAAATTTTTTTAAATTTATGACTCCACGGGATATCTTACCTGTATATCTGCAAAGTAAAGTTTTCTCAACCACATCATTACATAAATAGATATATTTTAAGGTATAGAAAAGAACATTTATTAAATAAAAGAGGAAATTTCTTACGGGACTGGTAAGATAAATACATTACAACCAAAAAACACAATTATATATAATAATATATATATATGATATGTAATATTATTTACATTGAAATATGCTTAAAAGTAGATTCATTAAGACAAGTTTCATTCATGAAGAGTAATATATTATTCAAGAAATAAAACAGTGCGTAGATGTACCATTGGCCGAATCAAAAGAATGAACAATTTAGTTAAACACTAGTTTGTTTTTTTTAAAATTTGCTTTATTTCTATTTTATTTACAAAATTTGTGACTTCAATCCACGCTATAAAGACATATGATTAGTATCAAATGGAACTATTATATACTTTCAAAGAGTCAAATTTGTCAATAACCGTCTCAAGTTAAGAAACTTGCTTAGTTTAAAAATTTCTCAAAGAAAATGTTTACTCCAGTTGAATTACTAAAATTTTATCGATGCCTCCAGAACCTTTTACAATAGCAGAAAAATAAAATTAGCCAAATTTATACCCCAGAGTGTTAATAAAAAGAACGGTTTACGAAAGCTTCGTCTGAAAATGGGTTAACTACTTACTTAAAGGTGAATTACAAAGATGGCAGTTATCTGGGGGATATTTAGTCAGATATTGTCGCGTGCAAAATATCCTCAAATATATAATTTTTATGTTACGTTCAGTAACGAATAGTTTTGGAACTGAACAGACTTAAGAAAACACTTTTGTGACTTCATTTCTACAGACTCACCCTTTGAGCTTTAATTTTTGCTTCATTTTTAAAAGATATTCAGTTTAGAGTTCGTAAAGTTTAAAAACTCCTTTAATGTTAATACATTGTTTATAACATCTTCAGTGCAGCTACAATAAAAAAAAGTTAAATTCCCCCATAAAAAAACCTTTATCAAATGAATTCCCTTTTAATTTTAAACATTAAAATCTCTTTTTTTAATGCGTAGATTCATTTACAGTAAAAAAAAAGTACTTCAATATGTTTAAAATTAAGGCGTCTGCTTTCAGAGGCTTGCATTACAAATACCCCATCCATTCTCAATACAGCATAAGAAATACGTGTTGAACTGGAGAAGAGCTGCTCATTTGAAAAATAAGGATGAAAGGCCTCTCGATTCGGATCCACTGAACTGAAACAAACAGCGATTCAAATGTGAGATATGTAGAATATGAGACGCGAGGCATTTTTCTTCAAAAATGTATTAAAATGTTTTTACTTAGCCAAGAAAAATGTTAAGAATGAAATAATATTACTACCACTACTCATCTTTTTGAAGAAAAAAAAATTCCAAAATATTTTCTAATATTAACAGCTTTGTGAAATATTCTGTGAAAAATTTTATGCATCATAAATGAGAGACGTGGAAATCTGCAATAAGATTCAGGAAACACAAAGTAAGATTGACCATTCATTGTATCAAGCTTTCAGTTGAACTTTAAGGCAGCGGAAGTATTGAAAAAAAAATCGAATTCTACCTTATAAATTTAGTCCAAGTTTTTTAGAAATAATCTATCATGTTAAAGAAACAGTTAAAGAAACTGCGTTGACGTTTTGAGCCTGCTTTGAGAACAGCCAGTTTGAGAGCTTCTTAAAAATAATCCTTCATATTAATGAAAAATCTTAAAGGAAGCTACAATGGCGTTTTGAGATGAATCCCGTTTTTTGATGTTTTTAATCTCTGAGATAATATTATATATTCGCCAGCTATCGAACTGGATCACTTTATAGAATTTGAAGCAAAGTTTATTCTTGTTTTCTTTTCTTTTTAATTACAAAAATGTTTCAAATTAAGTCGAATTTTCGTTCGCGTTACACAGAATATTTTAAAAACTTATAAATCTATGCTGTCCCAAGTCTTTGAATCTCATGTTTTTAATTTCGAAGGGACGCTGAAGACATTTTTAGGGAGAAACTTTAGGTATCGATCAGGATCACAGAATGAATGTTTTCTTTCGCTTTTTTCTGTAAACAAAAATGTACAAACATGTTAGTCAACTTTTTGCGATCCTATTCAATTTATTCTCATACTGGTTGGAATTAATTTTTATAGGACAAACTTAACATGCAGGGTAAAAAAAATTGAATGAAAAACATTTATAGAAAGATATTTTAAATGACATGCACTTCCAAGCTAATTGATTTAAGTATTGTACAGTACTCAAAGATCAATATAGTTCTTACATGAGAGTGAAAAAGAGTCGTTGGCGGCCGTGAATTTTCCCTACATTAAAAACTATATCGAATATAAAATTTAGAAATGAAATGCATTTATTTATATTAAATGAAATGTTGAGGTGATTATAAACTTGATAAAATTTCAGGTTTGTCGAAACCATAATAATTTTAGCTTGAATCACTATTTAACTGAGATAAACACATTTCAAACTAGGATAAGTAATTATTGAATTCCTAAAAAGCAAAGAAGTTTTAAAAACCTCACAAACTATTTTATTTGTTTTTAAAAAGCTATCTTATTTACAAATAAAATAATGAGAAAAAAAAAACATTCCGCTTTTGGTTATGAATATAAGGGTATGTATAGTTTAATAGGATGTGAACCCCATCTGTACTTTTTTGGACCGGACCCCGGCTGTGATCCATAAGAATTTGCAAACGCTTTTTTCCACTTAAATAACTCGAGAAATTCAATACAAAAAACCTTGTGGCAATTTTGTAAGATTTCAAAATCGTATACTGAGGGTGGCCATTTCAGTAAAAAGTGAATACATTTTTGGTTGTTTTAGTGAAGTTAATTTAAAGGATTTTTTTAAAAAGAAATATTATTAATAATTAAAAAAATAAGAATCATAGTTTTTTAAACGAAAGAACAACAACTTAGCGCAATTTTCTCTTTACCTTTTGTGAATGGATGTCTTCCATTTTTATGAGTATAGAAGAAACTGTCACCGAATTTTAGACGATGAAATTGAATGGCTGATATACAGGTAGCAGTAGGGCCTGTCACACCCCCTTCAATCGGTGTTTCTGCTGTCATTCCAAGCCATAATTCAACATCCCTTACGTCCCTGAAAAAAGGCAAATAAATAATAAAAGAATAAATACAAAAGTGGCATGAAACATTCTTAATTAGAGCAACAAGTTGAAAAAATTAGTTTTATATGTTTTAAATTGCCACTTTTTAAATGGCGAGTTTTGCAAGTATTTATTGTATTAAAGTCAAGTGCACTATTTCACTTTTGAAACTCGTTCATCACGTTATTATTTTCTATATACCATGGGGGTAGCTCGGGGGGAAAAGAGCCTTCCAGTGAGGTGAACCGGGTTCGAGTCCCAGCAATGACTGGTCGTTATAAATTCTGCACGGCTTGCACCGACCACAGTGCTGATACGAAATATCCTCAATGGTAGACGGATCATGGGTCTCCTTGCCGTCAGACTTACCGTGGGAGTTTTCGTGGTTTTCCTCACCGTGTAAAGCAAATGCGGGTTAGTTCCCTCAAAAAGTCCTCATCGAAGGCAAATTTTTTCCCAATACTTAATCCAGGAGTTCCCTTGTCTTATGGATTGGGTTCAAAATGACAAGGGTACAGAGTTGAACATTAGTAGTCGTAAGCCCTTAGATTGGGTCGGCTGCTCAACGACTGTCATATATTTATATAAACGGTTACTTAAGATAGAATAGAATTAACTTAATCTATATACTAGTAAATTGGATAATTATGGTAATAGAAACACTACTGTAATTCTCCGCTAGAATTTTATCTGTGATAGAATTCGATGAACGGATACTTCTAGTTGATTATTACTGTTTTGTGAAGAGCCAGGAGAGCTTTATTAAGATAACCGGACTTGGAGAGTTGATCACTCCTGTGTTGCCAATAGCGCAGGTCGGCGTTGTGTGTGATCGAGTCTTAATAGTATTAGAGTGATTAGAACAATCACAAAACGCAACTAAACTGATCTATCGAAGTTTGTGTGTCCACATGACGTCAATGTACGTGAAAGCTTCCAACAACCTCTCTTCAGATACCTCAAGATAGTATTTATGGAGTTAACACGCATTGGGATTTGGAATTGTATTATTGTAGTGGCAGTTATACACTCACACGATATTTCACAAAAGCATTTAATCACCAGGGGGAAACAATAATCTTACGAGTATATTTTCTTCAGAAATGTGACACTATCTTCAGACATCCTGTTTTCGAGATCAAGAAATGTTTTAATCCTAGTTTTTCCCTCTGAGCATTTTTCTACCACGTCGATGTAGCTCGCGAGTCCATGATCTCGCCCTCTTTGGATGTTGATGGCAGCGAGGTCCACTCCGAAAGATCCTTTAGGTGGTCTACAAGTTTAAAAAATAATTCAGTCAGTAAACAAAACAATCCAATTGTGACAGCAATCAGGAACTAAAAATGTAAGTAGTGGTATTAACTCAATTTATCTTTATTTATATAATTATTCAATCAGAAATACCACATTTCAAATTATATTCATATTTAAAACGATATTTACTTTCAATAGCAGGGATGCAACAGGTGACCAAAAAAGTAAAAAGTGGTAGAAACTAAAATCGCTTTTACTTATTGATTATTCTTTTTATTACTCTATCGTAACTATTACATAAATTTAAAATAATTCATGTTTAGAGAAAAAAAAACATACTCTCCCTTCACTTTCAATAGTAAACTGGAAAAAAAAATACCATAAAATGTTGCTAATTTTAATCACTTTTACTAAAATTTAGAATTTCATTAATCACCACTTTTATCATTTTTAGTCGCCTGTCGATTAAACGCATCTGTGTATAGAGTTAGACCGGACATCCCATCCCTTGATTAATCATATTATTAAAAATAATCAACAGCGGATATTATTTATTGTTTAGAATATTTGGTGAATGATTTGGCAGAAAACTATTTAATCATCGCAACGGCCTTTAATGGAAGTATATTGTAACACAATTTCATTTGTAATTGAAAATATAAATGATTTTAGATGCTGTGAATGTCATTGTCTTACAATTGTTTTTCAGAGAGTTACATGAAATTAAGAAAACAACATGCCCCTTCATGCATGCCCCTTCGCAAAAGGTGATTCTATAATGTAATAAAAGGAATAAAGCAAAGAAATTATAGTTTCAATGTTTGGTGATAAATATCGCAATTGTCGGAATGACATTTTATGGTGAATTTAAGAAAATCCGTTTCAGAATGAATGAAAACATTAAGATGCTATTTGAAAACTATCTTTATTATCTCAAAGCCACGTATTTAGTAGAATAAATGAATCATACAATATTCTTAAACATACATATTTCGATTTTTTTAAATGCCACGTAACATTCGCTAATTTCTTCAATTATAAAAGAAGGAAATATCGTGAATTATATAAAACCTGTCATAATGTGCATTATAATCTCTTCCAGATATTTTGCATTTTTTACAAGATCTTTTTCGTGATTTGCCCCACAACTCTGTATATAATTAAAATAATGGTTTTAGTATGAAATCTTTTCATACTTAAAAAAGTTAAAACAACTTCAAAAACACAAATAATGCTGTATTAAAAGTTCATGTGTTCAAATACAAAAATCCTGGATGTCTTGTATTTAGAATCTAGAACTTTATTTTCAAAAGTTATGAAAACGAATGCAATTTCTGCTTTTATTTTTTGTGGCAGAAACCAACTAAAAAACTCTGTTGCCTAGAAACTTCAAGATATTTTTCTATTAACTATTTAAGAAAAAAGAAAGAAAAGAAAAGCTCATTCGACCCGAGTTAACACAAAAACGATGAATGGCTTCAGATTTTATTTCATCCTTTTTTATTCTCTCAGCTTGGTTGCTTAGCAACGGAGAAGCATTAAATATTTCTCTCTTGTCGATTCTATTGTTATATTAAATTTCTCCTCCTGCTATGGCGAAAGTTCTTGTCCTCTTTTTGGGACCACGCCAAATATATATATATATATATATATATTTTTTTTTACGTGACGATTAAAACAAGATAAAACCGTCTATTATCAAAAACGTTCCAACCCTGCCGAATTATATTTTTTTAAAGTGCTTAAAAATATTTTTGAGTGCTTAAAAGGTACTTATTTTTTGTTGAATAAGTTGTCTATGCACCCTGTTTTAACACCAAATTTGGATAGTTATTACACCGCAGTTTTTACAGTGTAGTTTAACTGTTGATTGTTGTTGTTCATTTACNATATATATATATAGTATATATGTAACTACCAAGTACCTCAATTTTTGGTCCAATTGTTTCGAAATTTTGCTTACGTCCCTATTTTGAGAGTCATGTTTATTCAGAGAAAGCACGTTTTGCATCTGATTTCGTATCTTAATTAATAACTATAACTAATTACTTAGCATATTTGAAATCACCCTCTAGAACCATTAAGATTGGCGCTTAGTTTGTGAAAAAACGTTTATTAGAACGAAAGTTATTCAGGGTGATATATATATATATTTTTGGTGCTCTGTACCTGTTCATTGGAAAAAGAAAGAAAGCAACCTTTTACAAAAGGAATTTCATTACCTGTGCAAGTAGTCTCTGACATCAGTTTTTATAAAACGGTCAAACTTTTCAGATGGGGTTTCACACGATCCAGTGATGTAAGCGTCCAACTGTCCATTGTAAACTGGACAGAAGTGAGAGTATGTGAGACTCATTCTTATCTTCGGATAATGCGTGCTCACAGTTTTGGGCAGCATGCTGTGCAACCGGAAGGATGCAGCGCCGAACTCATTGAATAGCAGAGGACTAGTTTCTTCATCGTACAAAGAATCCTCGACCGATAGATTATATTTCTTCATATTTTCTGGTCCCACTATCCACGGTAGATATTCTTGGTAGACCATATTTTGTTGAAGAGCAATCACTATCCTCCTATTGAAAAAAACCCATTTTGAATGCAGATTGAAAGAAAATGTTTACTTTACAGAAATAAGCTTTTAGAAAATGTTGTTGTTGTCAATTATGCCACATTTTTTTTGTTAATTTTATTTTTTTATATCCGTCGTTGAAAAGCTGACCCAATTTTGGGTTTACGACTACTAATGATCAACTCCGTAGACTTGTAATTTTGAACCAATCCAGAAGACGAGGAAACTCCTGGATCAGTATCCTCAGAGGTATGATTTAATATGGGAACATGGAGGACTTCCTGACTCGACATATTTAACGTGCATCAGTAACCATTAACTACACGGGGGAGTCTTTGGGCGAAGGGCCCACGACTCTTAGATATGGGCCCAGTGCCCTACCAACCAGGCCATCCCGGCAGAAATCATAATTTTTGTAAAAAAAATGGGCATAAACCGTTCCTCTTCTTGATCATCAATGATGAATGAGAAGGGTTGATGAGCAAAATGAACAAGAGATATAACCTTCTGGTTTATTTAAAAAATTGTGAGTAGAAATAATAATTTGATTACTCGACAAAAAAGTAAATATCTGGCTCGGGCAAGTCAATCCTGAAAAAAGCCAAAGCCAAGTAAAGAAAATAAAGATATTCTATGCTATGGCCTGTGTACTCATCGGACTTAAATCCTATACAGTATGCCTAGGTTGCTTTTGGCAGGACACGTCTATTCCAAATGGTGCAAGAGCTTTCTTGAGAGAGGAGAGGAAAAAAATCCTCCCAAGGAATCGTCGATTGTTTAGTGGATAGCATGAATAACAAACGCAAATAGTGTCCGAGGTGTAATCCACATCTTACTGAAATATTGTTTCATTTTGGCAAGAAGACCCATTTTTCATTTCTGTTTAAAAATCCTCCAATGAGGATCTTTTTTATTTTATTATTTTTCGATATGTGAATTATTCTGGATAATATTAAAATGCACATGGTCTCTACTAAATATGTACTTAGTTTCATTACGTCAATTATAATATTAATATTTTGTACATATATATATATATATATATATATATATATATATATATATTTATATATATATATATATATATATATATATATATATATATATATATATATATATATATATATATATATATATNTATATTATAATTATTCAAAATAAAGAAAAATCATTCTTTATAATGCATCTGTGCCTCTAAAAAATTAAAAAATATAATTGTAAATGAGTTTAAGATGAAAGAAGAAAGGCAGAAAACAAACTTCCCATATAAAGTAAAATAAAATAAAAGTGTGTTTAAAATTAGATTTATTAGTTCAACAAATAAAACAAACTATTGAGGACAAAAAATATAATATAATAAATGTAGAGAAAACATGGAAAAAGATGTTTTGAGGGAGAAGAAAAAAATGTTTTTAAATAATATTCACAAATTCAAATTTTAAAGAAAAGTTGGAAAATAAAAACGAAATAAAGGGAGAGAATGGCTATCAGAGAAACATACTTCTTCATTGGTGTAAATTGGGTTATTTTTATTCCATGGGAATTACAACAAAAAATTTTAATAAATGCATATGTTCTTGTCCATTTTATTGTAATTAAAAAAAAACATTGTCTTAAAATATTTTTCCTCACAAGCGTTTTAATTAAATAATATAAAAAAAAAAACTTAAATATTGAATAAAAAATGTATCATCAAATGAATATGAATTTTGTTACAGGTTTCAAAAAATCATTACAGGTTAAAAAATCTTCCAACTCTCGGAACTCTTGTGTTCCGCGGAACACCACTTGGGAACCGCTGGAACACATCATAAGGATTGAGAATTGCATAACAATCCAGAGCAACGTATACACGCTTTTTTTTTTATACACGCTTCCCTGTTATGTAGGAACACAGTTGAACCTTAAATTATCTGTTTTGTTTCAACGTCATAAATCCTTATGTTGAAACATTTGTGCTACCTTCTTTCTTTATATAAAAAAAGCGTTTAAAAAAAAAAAACGTAATTTAAATATAAAAATGAACGTTCCAAATATCCTGAAACAATCCAAGAAATAAAAATTCAGTGTTTGCATATAAAATGGAGTTTTATTAGTTATAGAACTACGAAATCCTTAGAAATTTTGTTTTACTTTCTGTAAATTTTTTGATTTATTTTTTTAATTTCTTGTAAAAAATTAATTTGTTGAAAAATATTATATTTTTTGTAAATATTATATTTTTTGATATTAAGTAAGTAAATATTATATTTTTTGATAATATTTTTTGATATTTTTATTTGATAAATATTATATTTTTTGTTTGAAGAAAAAAATATAAAAAAATCATAAATAAGTAACTCTTTAAGATCCGTTAAATTAAAAATTATATTTCATTTTTAAAAAAAGTTTAAAAATAATAATTTTAAATAATGACGATTTTTTAATTTGCGATATAAATACTCGTATACACTCAGAAAAAAAATTGGGGACAAAAGTTATGTTATCTTATGGTGAATGATTAGGATGAAAAGTTTAAGAGGTTAAATTTAAAAAAGAAGAAAACAAATATTTTTATTCAAAATCAAAGAAACAATAAAACTCTAAAAAAATTTTTTTACCGCTTACTATATTTTAATGAAATGAAGAAAAACTTTTATATTTTAAAATTCAATTACCAAAATAATTAAATTTTGGTGCAAAAAATGTTTCATTTAGTAACATAAAATAATAATTGAAGTTATTTAGAAAAGCACGGATATAGTTGCTAAAAATATTGCCTGTCCAAATAAAATACTCGTATATAGATTAAGGCAGATTGAAAACAATTGGATTTTGTACCATCCGGATACTACTACTACGAAATATTTCCCGGAAAAATATAAGAACGTGTAGCCGTTGAAACTCACATATACGTAGACATGGATGGACACTGTGATAGCATAGGCCTGCGGACGTACGTTTTCGGGGCACCATGTGGTGTATATATATATATATATATATTNCACACAGCACTGAGCTGGGGTGTGTATATGTGTGTGTGTGTGTGTGTGTGTGTAATGCAAAAATTATAAATACTTTTGTATCAATAAAAGAACTAGAACTCCTTCGGTTTCATAAATTGTCTTTTATAAAGAATAGGTGTAAAGATATTCTATTTCGGAACTTCAAGGCTGAAAACATACCAATGAATTATAATTAGATTTATGTTTAAAGTAAAAGCATTGCCATACATGAAAATGAATGACCCAGTATATTTTTGTTTCTAACTAAATTCATAAATTCTCTGGAAGTATTGAAATATTCATAGTATGCGAGTACTCTTCATTTAAGTTGCACTTCATTTATTACAACTTTTATTTTCTGGACTAAAGTTTCATGTGCTGAAAAGGGTTAACGTTTAGCGTTATATGTTTACCTGGTTTCATCATAAAGTTTTTGACTGTCCCAGTGAGGATTCAGGCCGAGCAGCTTGTCATGTATAGTATTGTGTAAACGGACCAACAGTGTGTGCACAAAGATTAACATTGTATGTTGGTTTATTCGTTCATCACCTATTAAATGAACAATTAGAGAGGATTGTGAAAAAATATCTTGCATAGTTTTTTAATCTATGTATAATATTCAGAGAAACAAAGATAATTGTGTCTATCTGCGGAGGGGATTTTCGGATTTCTGGATGCATCTTGTGTTATTTGTTCTTTTACAGATAAGGGCTTATAAGCCATATTTGTTATTAGCACCCCCGTTTCGTATTTGTAACAAATAACGTTTTTTCTCTGTTAAACCAACTTGGAACAAGACAGTTTTATCGTGTCTTCTTTTTCCTCCAGCGACTTTTTATTCGTTGTTTCAGTTTTGTTTGAACTTTAAAAAAATATGCCTGCTGAATTCTCAGGCATTTCATGTATATATTTTTAACAATAACGCGTGATGCCAACTTGATAACAATAGAAATCTTGTTATAAAAACATTTTACTTCCTATCTTTTTTTCTGTAATAATGAAAAAGTCGTTACTACTACTGAGTACCGGTAATATGTACTATACTATATTTATTTATTTATTGATGCATTTGCAAGTTTGTGTGCTAAATTAAGACTTATAAATCTCTGCCCAGTAGAAGGATATATATCATAATACAGAAAGAGAACGAACAGCGGGATTCTAGCCTGCAGCGTTTGGCGGGCAATACAGAAAGGGTCTTACTTATTTGTAAGATATTTTTAAACTTAAAAGTGGCTATAAGTGATTAAAATATGTGGCAGTTACCGCTAATTAGCTTTTTTGAGTAGAAAATAAGAAATTAAATGTTCTTACTACCTTTTTCAATGCTTCCAGGATCAGTAGCAGCTGGGGATAGAGGTAGACATTCAAAATGCAAATTGCCGGGGTTGCAGAATTCAAATCGGGATCGATTAGAATTCGTTTGCGGGGGAGTAGTGTAAACGCACTTGAATTCCTGTGATGGATTTTGGGAGAAGGTAAAGGGGTAAAAAAGGGAGAAACTTAAACACTGATATTTAAAGTATTCTTTTTACGCTGAATAGAATGAAACCATACTTAAAACGTTAAGTGTAATAGTTTAGTAGTTATACGGGTTTTATGTGCAAAATGTACATATTTGACTTGTACAGCACTCATAAAAAATGAACCACCATGAATAACTTTTGATCTAATTATCAGATCTTCACGTTTATAACACTTAATTTCAATGGCTTAAGAGGGCGACCTCAAATAGGCTATTTAATATGTGCAGACGATATTTCAAGTTACAAAATCAGGCACAAAAATGTCTGAATAAACATAACTTTTTTTCGACGAATGCGGATCTTCGACTGCTGAAATACACGAAGCAGCCGTCATCTGGGAAATATGATAGTTTTGGTCAGGAGAGCGGTCCAAAGTTTGTTTAAATTTACTTTTTGCGTAGTTCGCTATGTCTCGAGAACATTTAAAGCGAATTAAACAAAAATTGCCCAAAATTATAAAGTTCGTTTATCCAAAGATAATTCCATGCCAAAAAAGAGACTATTTTTTATTATTTTATTTAGTAATGGTTGAGAAAATTTTGAATTGTAAGGTTTACAATTTTTTGCATCATTTAAAAAAAACATTTTTACATGGTAAAATGCAAAATTTGAGCAAAATCAGTCGAATCAAATCAATCCTAAATCAATCAAAATCAGTCATAAGAAATCAAAATTTAGATATCTGACTTCTTTTTAAAATTCAATTTCTCAGGAACCCATTTCGTTCAAAATTGGTTTTGACAATTATTAAATAAAATAATAAAATGCAGTACATGGTTGCTAAAAGTTTTTTTTTTTTTCATAATTGTGTGCAAAAAGCTTTCAATTCGTTTAACACGTTCACGCCGGGAAAAGTGAAAATATTGGTACGGGAAAAAAGAAAATACTGGTAGAAGAACTATTTTAATATTAGATAATATTCGGGAGGAGTTAATCTATTCTCAACAATAACAATTCACTGTAAGGAAATTCATCACGGCGACGATCTGGAATTTGGTGAGGTGCCTGCCCGCGTGAGCGGGCACTTGACCTCTACAAGATGCAATTCAATATAAAAATTGCATCCGTTAAAAACAATTGGTGGTTATGGATTTTTATTATTCCCGGAAAAAAACTGAAAAATAAAATTTATTGTTACCAGTTTTGAGTCCGATGCGTTGCCAAGATGAGACAATCTAGCGTGAACGTGTTAAAAAGTTCTCGAGATACGAAGAAATACGCAAAAAGTAAAATTAACATTAAACGGGTCCAAACTTTTGACCGCTCTCTACAGGGACCCTATTTCCCAGATGGCGGCGATCCCCTATATTTTGAGGACCTGAAATCCAAATCTGTTGGGAAAAAAAGGTACCTTTATTCAGAGAAAGTACGTTTTTATGGCTGATTTCGTAGCTTAAAACATTGTCTACACTAATTAACTAGCGTACATGGGGTCACCCCCTCGAATTAGTAACATTGAGATTCGATCATTAGATCAAACGTTTTTCAGGCTGGACCGTTTTTTTATTTTGAGTACTTTACAGATGGATGACAAATAATGTAATCACTTCTAGACTAATTCTATGTGAACAATCTTTCTTTTATCTCTAAATGTTTCAGAACAACAAACCTGTTTGCACAATTTGAAGGATCATGCTTCAGGATTTAGAAAAGATATTAGATATCATTTAGACTTTCTTATTATCATTATAATTCTAAAAGCATTCCTATATAAATATCGCAATTCTATAGAATGTTTTCAAAATATCTGGTATTAACTCAAGAAAAGTTTCGAAGAAGAATTTCCTCTCCTCATTTGGGTCGATGTAAATTTTGCATAGGTAAAAATGACACTATCTCTAAAAGCTTCAAACTGCTTTGCCACATAAAATCTTCCGAAAAATTTGTTTTTAAAAAATTGCTAATTTAGAATTAGCATAGAAGTGTTCGTATTATTTTATTCCTGATCTGTAACAATAAATAAAGCAATTAGCTTAATATTGTATTTTTTTAAAATTTATGAGATATTTTTATAAATTTATGAAGAATGATTATGAAATTCAAGAATACTATTAGATGAATCAGACTTAGTTCCTCCGATTATTATGTATGTTTTGATAGTCTTTATTACATGGAATAAATTTGGTACTTTAAAATTGAGATCACTTCAGTCTACTGTAATTATTAACACGTTGAATGCCACGCTGATTTTACATGGTGAATAACTACGAACTAAATTGGACAGATATAGCTAGTTTTTTGAAAGGTTTAGCGCGTCATATCTGAAAAAAATGATGAATTATATAAGCCTACGAATTGTTTAGAAATAGTGGTGGATAAAAATCTACTAAATTGAATTTTTTAAACCAAGAATCACAATTAATAAACTACCACTTGAAAATATTTATTCGCTGTCCGGAGCAAGTTGGCACCTCTGTTGTATATAAATAAAACTGTGTGTGTTCTATATTGCATTCATTTCTTCAAACCATTTTAGTAACGATAATAATATTAAAAAAATAAAATTTACTCGAATTAGGTGTTTCTAATAATCTTGGCAGCGCCGGTCACCGGTGACCCCCATGGCATTCAACGTGTTAACCGACGAACAAAAAACTTCTGTGGTTTTTATAGAAGGGTATGCATAAAGTGTTTGAAATAAATATTTCTTTTTTTTTTCATACCAGATAAGAAACACCTCTCAGTTTCATTGATAATACAGAAGAGTGTTTCATTGCTGTAGGCATGCGGCAGTATTTCACCGAAAGGAGTTTGACGCACTTGTAGTCTACCTGCAGAAAGAATCAAAACGAACAAAAGTGAATAAATAGAGTGAAAAAATATTCGAGAGATTTTACACGACTAAGTAGCCGTAGGTTGGTTCTAAGCAAGCTTTGTAAAAAATAGATGTTGTTTTTCATGGCAACTGCGCTGCTCGGAACTTAAGTGCATCAAAATGCGGAACTTTACGTATTCGTGCAAAATCTTCAAATTTACAAAAAAATTCTTTTTTTTATATTTATTATTTTTTTTTGCTACAATAGCACTTAATTAAACACTACTAACCGCCATGCATTTAACATATATTATGTTGGAGCATAAAAATAAAATTACAAAAGCACAGAATAAAAATTTGCTTCAAAGTAATAATAAAAGTAACGATATTAAAATGAAATAAACAAATGTCGCAATATTAAGCATGAAATAAATTTAGTCAACTGAACTTTAAATGCGTCCATTTCATAGCCCGGTACTACCTACTGTATAAGGTATAAGGGAAACATTTTGGAAGGAGATTTCAGTTCATCTCAATATTTTATTGGCAAAAAATTTTCCATTGATTATTCTAGATAACAATGCAGATGTCTATATTCCTTGCCAATAGACAAGGATTCTAAAGTCTACGCGATTATCCTCATCGTTACCATCGTTTCGACAAATCTTGCTTTCCCTCCAATCAGGTATATTTTAATTTTTTAATGGAACGTACTGGCGTGAGGGAGAAAAGAGCAAGATTTGAAGAAACCATGGTAACGGAGAGGGTTCTTAATTGCTCTTAACCCTTTCGGGCCGACTGTCACAAATATGTGCCACCATAAAACTGTATCAATCAGGGTAAAAAGATAAAACTGGTAATCAAAGTAATTCTTCACCCGTTTATTTGTGGGCGGCGTTATAATTGTTTGATTTATTTAATTCACCATTACTTTGTTCAAAATAAAACTATTTAGTTATACTTTGAATTAACATTGATTATATATATGATCAATCTAACAATAATTAAAGTAAAAGCAAAGTAAGTCTGTCAAATAAGAAACGACTACATTTAAGTTACCGTTTTTTATTTAATTACAACTTGATTCTGATTTTGTACGAATGCTTTTCAGAATCAACCGTCCCCAAGGGGTTAATTCTTAATTTTTTAAAATGTAACGAGTTGCCATTTTTACTTTTTAACACGTTCACGCCGGGTAAAGTGAAAATACTGGTACGGGAAAAGAGAAAATACTGGTAGAAGAACTATTTCAATATTAGATAATATTCGGGAGGAGTTAATCTATACTCAACAATAACAATTCACTGTAAGGAAATTTACCACGGCGAAGAAGCAATTCAATATAAAAATTGCATCCGTTAAAAACAATGGGTAGTTATGGACTTTTATTATTTCCGGAAAAAAAATTAAATTTATTGTTACCAGTTTTTACTCCGGTGCGCTGCCAAGATGAGACAATCTAGCGTGAACGTGTTAAATCGTAGACATGATTCAAACTTGGAATGACTTCCTTTTTTAAAAGATAAATAAGGAACTAATGCGATTTTCGAAAACTGATAGTGACTGTTAATAGTAGAAATATGATCCTTTGTTTACGCACAAATGTCGATCTTGTGTCACTACAAATTGTTAGATTTAGGGTGGCAATAATTCTTTCAGCAAGGAATGCGCTTAGGATAAATGCCTTTTTTGATAAATAAAAATGATAGAGGTATTTCTATTACTTGTTATAATTTTAAATTATAACATTGCTGCAGTCGTTCCTCTAGCTGTTCATAAACTCTTATTTCTTATTGGTGCCGCGATTCAGCCAATGGTGGTGCAACTGCAGTAAATAGTTCAAAATTATTTTTTACTTTTTTCCATTATCATGATCGTATTACTCTTATTTTTTCTTCCTGTTTTCCAAAGTCATGATGAAAATGGACGGGTGGGTGATCACTTCGATCAGTCTGCGTAGGGACCGAGGGTGTGCGGTATGGGTCCTCGCTAAACTGTTCTACCGTAAAGTGTTCGACTTCACGTCCAGGTCGTCGAGCTACCGAAGCAGGGGTGCCATCCCCTCAGCAGAAGATCAAAATTGTGATGGCATGTCTTCGGATCATCCTCAGGGATGTTTCCCAGACAGTCGCCAATAGCCCATTGTGCAGCTCTAGTCCGACGTAAAGGAACAACAACATGATGAAAATTGCTCCACGATTTCGCAAATCAAGATGAAAAGGTAAAAGTCAGCAATAATGTGACTATGACTTGCTATCAAAGGTGAATGAGTTAAAGACCACCGTAGTGCTGGAACTTAGATCAATAGTTTACATAGGTATTACTAGCTACATTTGTGATTTAAAATGAATATTAAAATACTGAACAGAACTGAATAAAGTAATTCATATTGATCATTGTGGTGGTTCTTGAAGATGAAGAAAAAAGTAAAATGAAATTGGAAAGAGATGTTCGGAAAAAGTTCTGGAAAAGTCATCTGGAGAAGTCCAATTGAAGAAACATCTCTTCTTCGTTGTTCAGTTGAATGCTCTTCTCAATGAATAATTCACTGCTCATTTCATAACTGAGGTTCGCGAGTGGCCACACAACTTGAGAAAACAGCTACGGACAGACAGGACAGCAATAAGCCTAAATTCTACTTCCAAATAACATCACGCTCTGCAGTCAAGACCACAATTCTTCGCAGTTACACCGAGTTTTCACTTTGTCTGGGAATCTAACATCTTTAAAACCATTGATTCGTTAACATTATCGCAGAAGTTCTGTAGTCCGCAATACTTGTTTCATAAAGAAAAGTGGATGGTTTATTACTATTATTGAAATTACATACATTTGGAGGCTTGTGTACTCAATTTAGGCTTATAAACCTTTGTCAAGTAAAAGGACAGATATCACGGAGAATACATCCAGAGTTACAGCAGGATTCGAACCCGCGTCTTCCACGCCATGCGGGTGATACCGTTCGGCCAGGGAGGCCCCCGAAGTGGATGGTTTATTGATGTTACATACATTTGCAGACTTGTTTGCTCAATTTAGGCATATAAACCTTTGACAAGTAGAAGGACAGATAGAACAGTTTAGAGACAGACATCCCATAGAATACATCCAGGGTTACGGCGGGATTCGAACCCTCCACCTTCACACTGCGTTTGGCAGGCGATACCGCTCGGCCAGGGAGGCCCCGAAGTTGATGGTAAATATTAAAGTAGGTTTTAAACTTAAATATTTATAATTAGTGTTGTTATTTTATGTTTTAAGTAATTGTTGTATTGTTATATTTTGAAGCTGAATATATAGAAATATATTGTACTCCGAATACAATATATTCAGCTGAATATATTTTTATTTTATTTTATAACCGTCGTTGAACAGCCGACCCAATTTCATGGGTTTACGACTACTTACGTTCAACTCCGTAGCCTTGTAATTTTGAACCAATCCAGAAGACAAGGAAACTCCTGGATCAGTACCCCCAGAGGTATTGATTTGTTGTGGGAGGACTTTGAGACTCGACAGATTTAACGTGCATCAGTCACCATTTACTACACGGGGAGTCTTCGGCCGGCGAGGATCGAACCCACGCTCGCTTTATTATTTTTTTTTGCATGTTCTATTCTTGAACGGATGGTTGACCGTGTAAAGCTAATCTCAGATGGCGCAAGATGTCGTTGTAAGACTTCCGGGTTACTACTTCCGACTGATTTTTACGCCTGCAAAAATGCACCACATCCGATATTATTATACTTGTAGTGATTCCAATACAACGAGTTCTTTCAATTTAACTTTCAACAAATGAATTGGAAAGACTCCACAAGCTTGCCATCATACTACTCACAAAAATAAAAAAAACGGTGCTATTTAATACAAATATAGCCAAATAAAGGATAACACTCAAAACAAGACTAACCTTTATTTGAGCTGTGAAATTAATTGTGTTAAATTTGTTTTAAGATCACGACCGGTTAGAATTTATAAATTACAGAAAACTCTTATGAATAATAAAATTTTACGCTTAAATTTAGATACAAATCACAAAAATAAAACTTCCTAGAATATTAAGCCTGTTCACATAAACATAACATAATCGGATGGATACACCAGAAGTTTTCTTCTGGTATTGGGAAGATTGTTACTGTTTACATTCAGTCAGTCACACCTTCTTTGTTTATTAAGAAAAAAAGAAAAGTCTTCACACTTACCGGAGGAATCATTTGCTCTCATTTGTTGAGCTTCTTTTTCATTACTTCCGTATACAGCAGAAACATCCAGGAATGAAGTCTTTTTATTCATCTGCTGTCTTTTATCTGTGGATAAACCTCTCTGTACCCAATTTAAGTTTATAATATTATTAAAATATTTAGCGACATTCATTCTTTACAAATTAGCATACGGTTGCAGTCGCAAAACTATCAAATTCGTTACAAGAATTATGATTTTTAAAGCCAGTGAAAACCCTAATGGTATCCATGCTTCCTCCTCACACCCCCCCCCAAGAAACAATCTTCTACTTTAATATTTTGCTTTAAAATTTTTATTATATATTAGAAGATTTTTAGCTGTGGATTTGCCCGCAATTGGATTTGCACATGGTAAAAATATAAATTTAGTTAGCAAAGAAATTTTTAAGAAATTTATTGATAATTATAACATCCAATTAACTGAATGATTTAAATAGAATTTAATTACATTAGTTGGATATCTATTGCTTCTTTTTTTATCAAATTTTGGATGATTTTGTAAGTACATATGAATTTTCCTCTCACTTTATACATTACATTTTGTGTTTTATTCTGCATTTACTTGAATTATTATTTTCTATTTTTTGCTTATATGTTTTTGTGTGCTTAATTTGTTCTATTTGGTGCTCCTTGCACCTTTGTATTGATATATTTTGTTTTAGCTACATTAATACCATATTAGAAAAGCACTCTTTTTTTGCGGATATAATCATGTGAACCGATGACGAGATTATAACTTTTCCTTAATTTGTTTTCCGTCTTTTTTAAATTAGACAAAGAAAATTTTTTTTTTTTTGCCTAGTGATACCCATTCCATTTTCTTTCATTTTCGTAATCCAACTGTTTCAGACAATTTTGAAGCTCTCTGACTAAAGTTATATATCAGGAACTCTACACACCACCCTATGAAAAATGATTTAAAACTTCACATGCAATTCCGTTTTCATTCCTACTGTTTTGTGGTGATGCTTTTAAAATGTTGGCAAACTACCAAAAAACTACCAAACTACCAAACTACCAAAACTACCAAAAAAATTTGAAACCTTCATCTTTTAATTGTATACCACTCCATAAAATATTTTGTAAATAAAAAGCGTAGTAGCCGGCATGCATATTCTGTATTTATTTATATATTTATTCTATTTATCTACATGTAATGTGGGCAAAGTCATTTTAAGTTTAATTTGTAAATTCAAGAATTAAATGGAAAAAGCTTAAATTTCGCTATCCTTTAAAAATAAAAATAAAATCTTAGGCAAAATTTGAATATTCAATAGATATGCATGCAAGGTTCCCAAAGCTCCCCTAAATTTTTTTTAAATGGTGGTAAAATTTAAAAAGTGAAATATATTTCCTGATTTTAATAATTGGTAAATAAATTTTCTTTAACACCACAAATATTTGGAAACATTTTACATGTACGGATGTCTGATAGATAAATATTTTATAACCGTCGTTGAACAGTCGACCTAATTTTTGGATTTACGACAATTAATATTCAACTCCGTAGCCTTGTAATTTTGAACCCAATCCAGAAGACAAGGAAAGTCCTGGATCAATTATTAGGAGAAATTTGCCTTCGTGGAGGACTTTTTGATGGAACTAGCCCGCATTTGCTTTGCATGGAGAGGAAGACCACGAGAACCTCCCACGGTTAGCCTAACGGCAAGGGGACTCTAACCCTTGATACGTCTACCACTGAGGATATTTCACGTCAGCACTGTGCTATCCGGATGCGGAATTCGTATCGACCAGCCATCGGCGGGATCGAACCCCAGTTCACCTCATTGGAAGGCGAACGCTCTATCCCCTGAGCCATCGCGGCTCTGATAGATAAATATTATCTCAATTCAAGTGGTGACGAAGCATTTAAATTTTTTCGATGCGCAGTTTGCTACTACTTGAATATTTTTAGCGGAGCTTTGGGAGCCCTATGTTGTACAAGGATACCCTTTAACATTTGAAGTTTTCGAGAATAATTATTTCCGCTGATAGTAAACTAAATAAAGCTTTTAAATGAAAAGAGTTTTACTCAAAACATAGGAGCATGACCAGTAATTTATATTAAATTTTCAAATATTTTTTAAATTATTTTCATTTAAAAGTGGCCATAGATTTTAAAATTCCAATTAATAAGTTATCAGTCAGGGAAAAATATTTTTCTGAAAACATGGAAACTCCGTAGTAGTGGTACCAGTCATAAGGTTATTAGGCATAATTGTATAACCAGACTTACCAAAATTGCATTGTGGATAAGGAGCTGTTCTTGTAATTGGTATGCATGAAAATTCAAACTGGTGGTAAAAAGGATCGCCAGGACTAATATCAATGTCTACGCAGTTACGATCAGGATTTTTTTCACAGCAAGGTACTATAGTTCCATTTCCTAAAAGAAGTTTCAAAAATTTATTCTTGCATTTGCAGCAAAAAAGAATACATAATTTTTTTCTTCCTAAAACTGAAACTATTTTAAAATGGTTTTGCCAGTAATTTTATGTGATTTTTTTAATCAATCAAATTGTTCCAACAGATTACTCAAATGCCTGCAATGAGAGTTACAGACCCATTAGTCTTCTAAACATTTTGTGAAAAATTCACGAAAAGATTATATACAATATAGAATCAAGCCATTACTTACAGCCCTCCCCGACCAGAAATTTGGATTCCGCTAAAAACTGGACACTACAAAGCAACTTCTTCGCATAATAGATTAGGGTACACTAACCAGTGAAGGAACACTTAAGCTTTTAAAAAAATATCAAAATTTGTAATTTTAGTTAAATGATAGTGTCAACATATTTGTTATTAAATGCAAATTATGCACACAAAAAACTTACATAATATTGTTTTAAGCTTTTGGCTGTTCAAATAATAAGTAGTAAGATAACCAAGTGAAGGAACAGTGAATGAACACTGAATTTTCCAGTTAATGAACACTTACTTCAGGGAATTTTTGATTCTCTTTAGGTGTTCATAGGCTATACAAATATCTAAAAACAGGAATTTTCCTGGAGGTCATATAACATATAATCTCCAGTTAACGGGGAAAATTTTACTTCTTTTCAGTCACGAAATGGAAAGTAAAGTGGGGTTGAATACAGAATAAAAAAAAATATTTTTCATTTTCTTTCTCACAGTTTGATAGTCGATTTTTAATCATGAATGTTTATCATTATGTAATCCGAAGATGTTTTTATTATTATTATTATTATTTTATCACATACGGTTTTCTCTCTTTCCCCTAATTTTTTAAAGCTTTTTTTAAAAATCTTTTTAAGTATTCTTTTTCTCTTCTTCATACTTTCTTGCTATAACTTTTTTTCAGCTCTTTCAGTCCCTTTTTATTCTTACCATTTTTATGAAGTTAATGCAAAAGGTAGTTTATTTCTTTTTCTTTTGATTTGACCTTCCACTTTTTCCCCAATAATTGGCCAATGTAAATGTTTCTTCGAAATTTCTTCTGATTTTCCAGCACCATTTCCAGTATTCCTCACTGGATAATTGATGTGAGAAAGGAGTTTCGAAGTTTAAGGAAAATCCCTCGCCCATTGACTTATATCTAGTGGGTCTTTAGCAGTACTTACCATTTTCTGACTTTGATTACTTATCGAATCAATTGTTATTTCAACTAACAATGCATCAAGAGGTCTTATCTTTTAATCAGTTTTCAATGACTTCTATATCAGTTTTCAAGATACATTCATTTTCAATGTTAGTTGTTTCAGCTTCAGTAAGCTCTTGAAGTATGTGTTTTGTTGATAAGCTTTCTTGCTCATTAAATCTTTACGTCAGTCTTGAATGCCTTCATTAAAGCCAATGTTTTCAACATGAAATGGAAAAATACCACATTTCTTAAAAGCAATTTAAAATTTAACTTCATCAATTGAGGCCCCCAAAGGGGATTCCTTTTCTTATCCGCTTCCGTCATGACGTTAAAGACCGTATTAGCTAATTATTGGCACAAAAGCAAGCAAAGAAATGTTCGATTCAAATTTTTATTATTACATTCATTTAGTTTTCGATTAGTAAACACAGTTTATTAAGCTGTAACTAACCACTAGATTTATAAAGATAAATTATAATTATAATTCTTTGCCTAAATTTAGAAATTAAATTAGCATTTTAAAACGAAATTATTTTAGGAATTATTCATACAACATTTAACAGAATTTTAGGTGTCCTCTGTATTGCAGAACTACTAATTATCTTAGAGCCATGTGAAATCATATTTCACACATACTGTTCATTCACTGGGAAATCTATTCCCAGTGAAGAAACATGCCTGCTCCTTTACTGGTTAGAAATTATTTTTTGTATTTTCAGCAGAGTTTTAATGTATAATATGACTAAAGGTACAAGAAAATTAAAAACTTTTTTTTATTTTCATTAACTTGGAAAAATCTCAGTAAAGGAACACTTTTTCATTCATTGGTTTTTCCTCATTTGGTAATCCAGTTAATAAACACCCCCCGATCTCAGCACTTGATTATGCTATGAAGCTTAAAATAAATAAAACGTAACTTCAACAACCATATTTTGAATTCTCTTTTTTGCAGTGAGAAAAATAAAACTATTACATGAAATAGATTGCATTTTAAACGGATAACTACAAAAACTGACCTTATAATTTTGTCAAAGAAACAAGATGTTGCACAGATACTAACAAATTCAAAATTTATTCCAGGGAAGACTATATGACCAGGTAACCCAATGCATTGTTTGATGACTTCTTATTGTTAGGTAGTAAGCTACTGTTACCAATCAATCTAAGTAAAAACTTTTAAAATCTTATTTTTAAAAAAATATATTTGAAATGTTCATTCACTGGGGTGTGTTCCTTCACTAGTTGGTTTACCCTATATAGGCAGAGCTCTAATCAACAAAGAAACAATAGCATTTTTAACAATAGTGTCTCAAAAGCATTCGACAAAGTCTGGCATACTAGCACAATATTCAAATTAATGCAACTTAGCTTTCCACCTGGTCTCATTAAACTACTTTCCTGCTATCATTCAAATAGAACCCTTCAGGTATCAATTCAAAACTACAAATAATCAAAAAGAAATATCATAGGTGGAGAACCTTAGGGCAGCATTCTTGGACCGATTCTGTATATTTTATACGCTTATGATTTTCCAATTAATAGAGCAGTATTACAGACTTTTACGCAGACGACGCAGGAATCATCATCAGATCAAGAAATCCAAACATAGCACTACAAAAATTACAGGAACAAATACATGAAATAGAAGTTATGAATAGTGCGTTAAATGGAAAATAACTGTAAATGCAGATAAATCTCAAATCCTAGTTACATAAAAAAGAAGACCCAAAAATGTTCAATATCCAAATACCCCTAGTCAAAAAAGAAAAATACCTCGACCTCATAAGCAAACTCACCTGGAATGACCATATCAAAAATATGAGAGATAAAGCAAATGCATCAACAATAGTAATACAACCACTTATCTACAACCAGAATATGTTATTAAAACTAAGAAAACTGCTTTATACATCGATGATAATAAATTAACTATTTTATTGAAGGAAAGCAAAAGAAAATAGATAAATATTTTATTGAGAAAAATAATTGCAAATTAAATATTTTAATTAAAGATATTGTATGGGGTTTAAAATGATTTAACATAAAACAGAAAGCATTATAGCTCAAAACACGATGCAACATTCACATGGGATCCAGTTCAGTATATTTTTAATTTATGAACATTCATATTGAGTGACTTACAAGAGATTTTATGAATATTAAATCTTAAAACGGTTTTTAAGCACTTTTTTAAGCAACAAAATATTGGAAAGAAAGTTTAAAAACAGTTTAAAAATCCGTATTTGAATTTCGCGTTTTGTAATAATATTTTTTTAAAAATATCGAAATTAAAAAGAAAAGGAACACTTGGAAATACAAACTGCCAAAAAGAAAAGAAAAAAGTAAAACGAAAAATGGACGATTTGATTGTCAGTATCCTTGTTTGTAGTAGCAGAGTGAGATTAACTTTTTTACCCAGAGTGGCGATTAAGAGAACAGTTCGAGCTGCAGAGAAAGCCTGTGAGCTCGGAGTTTGGTGTTTCAGTTTTCGAAATAAAACTATTTGTGTTTACATTTGGTTGAATTTGGTGTTTGACTCTGGAATGTCGTAATTAATAATCTTGTTTTGCCTAACGCTAGTTGAAAAGATGGTTTAAACTGTGAGAAAATTGCAGTCAATTGCAAGTTTACTACTTGTGGTAAATATTCAAGTGAATATTTATTCATTTTATTATTATTATTATTTTACACTGAAAGTATACAGTGAATTAAACCATGGAGGTTCAAGACCCAAATAGCAATGAATTTCCCATTACAACACTACTCCTCACCCAGGAGATATGGCACAACAGCTCTCGATCATGAATTTTCGGTTATGTGCTCTAGTTGAGCAAGTCGCAAAATTAAACGAACAAATAGAGGATCTTCGCACCAAGAACTCTCAATTGGAAGCTGAGAAAAGACATCTGGAAAAGGCCCTTGATAAAGCATTAGATCCAGTAATCTCCCTAACTCTTCCAAGTACACATAAAAAACGTAAGATATCAACTAAAAAGAAATCAAAAAGCAAGCAAAATACAACTGTGGCAACTAAAAATGACACCACCGACAATAAGGAAGACAAGCAAATATCGAACGATCATAAATTAAGCGAATCATTGGAAACCGATGAAGAAAACGCTATGGAACTTGAAAAAGTTATTGATACTCTTCCATCAGCAGAAAGCGGCGAAGAGGAATACAACAAAAATAAAAAACCTCGATTTGAATCTGATGACAAAAAACAACGAGAAGATGAAAGTGACTTCTATCAAACACCCAAGCTTAAAAAGCAACGCATTCCACCAATCCTCAAAGACTCTAATTTCAACTGGAAACAAATTAAAGAACTACTTCAAAATAACAACTGCACAGACTTTACAGGCAAAGTGTTTGGTGATCAAATCAACTTAAAAGTAGCAGATGACGATGCTCATAGAAAAATCACAAAAATCCTAGATGACAACAAGGTCGAATATCGTACATTTATTCTTCAACAGGACAAACCACTCAAAGTCGTACTCAAAAGCATACCTGCCGAATACAGCGCTCAAGAAATTGAAAATGAACTCATCAAAGTAGGATTTGTCGCAACTAAACTTACCCAAATGATCAAATTCACTGAAAATGGTAGAATTAACGTTCCCTTATTTATCGTGACACTACCAAAGAATGATCACAACAAGGAGATTTATGACCTCACGAGATTCATGAACTTAATAATCACAGTTGACAACAACAAAGGGCGTGGTGGTGTGACACAGTGCCATAGATGTCAGAATTTTAACCACGTTCAGCATTTATGCAGACATGCTCCTAAGTGCTTAAAGTGCGGAGAAGGGCAATTAACATATACCTGCCAAAAATCCAAAGATACACCGGCCAAGTGTGCCAATTGCGGTGGTCCCCACCCTTCAAATTATACACAATGCTCTAAATATCCTCAAGTTGAATCCAGACACAGTTACAGCTCCAATAACCAAAATAACGAAGTCTACCGAAATAGAACAGCTCCGACTGTAACATATGCCTCAACCCTCAAAGAAGCTAAGCTTCGGGATCTTCAAAATGCCCAGCAAGAAGACAGAAGTCTGGTTCAAGAAGCACACTCAATCCTGAACGAACTTAAAAACTTTGTAGAACTTTTAAAAAACAATGAAGGATTCAATCTAATTCGCCAACTAAAAGCAACAGCAGAAGCCGTAAAATCAACCCAATCCTCAACGACTAATGAATAAAGCCACTTCTCGTTTAGCACCACTTCACATTATTAACTGGAATGCAAACGGAATTTTTAACAAAATACACGAACTTAAAGATTTTATTTCTGAGTTTGACCCGGATATTATGATTATCACAGAGACTCACCTTAACAAACAGCATCACATAAAAGTTGCCAACTATACAACCTACAGGTGTGACAGGAATTTCAGAGGTGGGGGAGTTGCCCTCCTGGCGAAGAATAGCCTAATGACAACCGAATTTAACAAATCAAACCAAGCTGGATATGAACAAATCTCAATTTTTCTTAACTACGATAACAAAAACATCAAGATCACTGGAATTTACAATGCTCCAGGTAATACTCTCTCAGACGATGACATCAGACAACTTTTCCCAGCAAACATGGAGACAATAGTAGCTGGAGATTTTAACTCGAAACATACAATATGGGGTTGCAACAGAACCAACCGCAACGGATTACAGCTCAAGAAACTTGTGAATAAGCACGCACTCACTGTCATCGTGCCATTATGTCCTACATATCTACCAAACATGAGAAATCAAAGACCGGACATTCTCGACTTTTCCATTTCCAATTTGAATACACCCATAGCAGCTGACGCTGTAAATGCATTATCTTCTGATCACCTTCCAGTCTACATCTCGATTGGGATATCCTTAACACAGGACAGTAAGAAGATCACTAGAACTGACTGGAATCTTTTCCAAAATATTCTCACATTAAATAAACCAATCCTTGCAGCTGTAAAGACTACCGAAGAAATTGATACCCAAATTGCTGCGCTTCAGAATGATATAATAACTGCCTATAATAAATCAACTACATCGAAAAAACTCACTTCAAATCATCTTAAACTTCCACCTGAAATCAAGTTTTTAATCAAACAAAGAAACTGGTGCCGAAGGAAATACCAAAAAAAACTTCTGATCCAGACTACAGAGAAGAGATGATTAATCTTAACAAGCAAATACACAAGAAATGCCGTTATTACAGATGAAGACAATGGGTAGATAAAATCGAATCGCTCAGTACGGAGGATAATTCTGTCTGGAGAATGATGAAGCCACACCTCAAGTGGATAAACCTTTACATAAAGATACAGGGTATGTCTTCACAGCTCAAGATAAAGCGGAAACTTTTGCTGACTCTCTAGAAAAACAATTCTCTCTAAACCCGGATTTCAATCTGAACAATCATAATCTGGTTATTGAAGATGTTAAGCAATTCAACTTAACGCATTCATCTCCAGAGATAATCGAACCGACCAACATCGAAGAAGTTATAAATCACATCAAAAAACTAAAAATAAAAACAGCTCCTGGTTGTGATAATATCAAAAACAAGATGATCAAGCTACTACCAAAACAGTATATAAAACTAATAGTTCATATCTACAATGTTTGCCTTACCTTAAACTACTTCCCTGATGCCTGGAAGAACGCAAATGTCATACTTTTCATTAAACCCAGCAAAGATCCTATTTTACCTGAGAGTTACAGACCTATCAGTCTCTTGTGCAATTTAGGAAAGCTCATGGAAATAATTATCTACACAAGGATCATGCCTTACCTTACTTCACTACCAGATGAGCAGTATGACTTTCGGAAGCATCTTGACACAACCAAACAGCTCCTCAGAATTGTCGACTATATTGGTCGTGGACTCCATAACAAACAGAGCTCAGCACTACTGATGTTAGATATCGCAAAGGCGTTTGACAGAGTTTGGAATCAGGGTCTCATCTTCAAGCTTATACAACTGAAATTCCCATCTGGTGTCATTAAAATTACACAGGCCTACTTACATAATAGAACCTTTCAGGTTAATTTTAAAAACATGAAATCAACGAACAGAAAAATAACAGCAGGAGTGCCTCGAGGAAGCATTCTAGGGCCCATATTATTCATATTATTTACCTACGACTTTCCCATCGACAGACAAGACTTTAATAGCATCACAGCACTTTTCGCAGATGATACAGGAATTGTCGTGAAGTCCAAAAATCCCAACATTGCCTTACAGAAACTCCAAGAAAAACTTACGGAAATAGAAACCTGGTGTCTAGACTGGAAGTTTAAAGTCAACGGCCAAAAATCGAAACTACTAATCATCCAACATAAAAGAAAAACTATCCTCCCAAAAAATCAAGTTGTTCTTTTTAACGAAACTATACCCATAGTCAAAAGCGCAAAATATCTTGGTCTGGTCATAAACAGCAAATTCAATTGGAAAGATCACGTCAAAACAGTTATCAACAAAGTACAAGCAGCCTGTCACAGATTACAAATCCTTCTTCAGAACCCCAAAATGGAACTCAGACTTAAACGTTTACTCTTCACCTCGATGATCCGTCCCATCCTAACTTATGCATCTCCAGCTTANAATTGGTATGCATGAAAATTCAAACTGGTGGTAAAAAGGATCGTCAGGACTAATATCAATGTCTACGCAGTTACGATCAGGATTTTTTTCACAGCAAGGTACTATAGTTCCATTTCCTAAAAGAAGTTTCAAAAATGTATTCTTGCATTTGCAGCAAAAAAGAATACATAATTTTTTTCTTCCTAAAACTGAAACTATTTTAAAATGGTTTTGCCAGTAATTTTATGTGATTTTTTTAATCAATCAAATTGTTCCAACAGATTACTCAAATGCCTGCAATGAGAGTTACAGACCCATTAGTCTTCTAAACATTTTGTGAAAAATTCACGAAAAGATTATATACAATATAGAATCAAGCCATTACTTACAGCCCTCCCCGACCAGAAATTTGGATTCCGCTAAAAACTGGACACTACAAAACAACTTCTTCGCATAATAGATTAGGGTACACTAACCAGTGAAGGAACACTTAAGCTTTTAAAAAAATATCAAAATTTGTAATTTTAGTTAAATGACAGTGTCAACATATTTGTTATTAAATGCAAATTATGCAACAAAAAAAACTTACATAATATTGTTTTAAGCTTTTGGCTGTTCAAATAATAAGTAGTAAGATAACCAAGTGAAGGAACAGTGAATGAACACTGAATTTTCCAGTTAATGAACACTTACTTCAGGGAATTTTTGATTCTCTTTAGGTGTTCATAGGCTATACAAATATCTAAAAACAGGAATTTTCCTGGAGGTCATATAACATATAATCTCCAGTTAACGGGGAAAATTTTACTTCTTTTCAGTCACGAAATGGAAAGTAAAGTGGGGTTGAATACAGAATTAAAAAATTTTTTTTTCATTTTCTTTCTCACAGTTTGATAGTCAATTTTAAATCATGAATGTTTATCATTGTGTAATCCGAAGATGTTTTTATTATTATTTTATCACATACGGTTTTCTCTCTTTCCCCTAATTTTTTAAAGCTGTTTTTAAAAATCTTTTTAAGTATTCTTTCTCTCTTCTTCATACTTTCTTGCTATAACTTTTTTTCAGCTCTTTCAGTTTCTTTTTATTCTTACCATTTTTATGAAGTTAATGCAAAAGGTAATTTATTTCTTTTTCTTTTGATTTGACCTTCCACTTTTTCCCCATTAATTGGCCAATGTAAATGTTTCTTCGAAATTTCTTCTGATTTTCCAGTACCATTTCCAGTATTCCTCACTGGATAATTGATGTGAGAAAGGAGTTTCGAAGTTTAAGGAAAATCCCTCGCCCATTGACTTATATCTAGTGGGTCTTTAGCAGTACTTACCACTTTCTGACTTTGATTACTTATCGAATCAATTGTTTTTTCAACTAACAATGCATCAAGAGGGCTTATCTTTTAATCAGTTTTCAATGACTTCTATATCAGTTTTCAAGATACATTCATTTTCAATGTTAGTTGTTTCAGCTTCAAGTGAATTCTTAAAGTATGTGTTTTGTTGATAAGCTCTCTTGCTAGTTAAATCTTTGCGTCAGTCTTGAATGCCTTCATTAAAGCCAACGTTTTCAACATGAAATGGAAAAATACCACATTTCTTAAAAGCACTTTAAAATTTGACTTCATCAATTGAGGCCCCAAAAGCTTATTTAAAAATGGATGTTAAATTATCTCAACATATTGTTTTACAACTCTTTTGTTTTCAAGATCTAACGGAAGATTTCCATGAAACTTTCAAAGCTCGAAATACGCCTATATCACAAGGCTGGAGTGCATTAGTAGAATTAGATAGAAAGCTAAACCAGAGAATTGGTTTTGATGAACAAAACCTATTCAGTTTCAAATTGATATGAGATTTATGCCCATCCAGAAGAAGCAAAATAGGGAATTTGATAAAATTTTTAATTATCCATGGGTAGAAACATTTACAATATACGAGTATTCGTAAAATGTTGCTACGGTCATCGATTCACTTCATTAATCACTTTTTTCAATGAAATATATAGCAGGAACTGATTCCGCAATACCTCGAGGATTTCTTCAGTAAAGAAAAGCTACCATTGCAGGTACTTCTTTTCCACTGGCTGAAATGTTTGCCAAAACTGTTTTTCTTTCGTAGGAACTATATAATATAAATCTTTATAATTTTTAGGGCCAAAGATTTTTCCTGTTTAAGGGCAATATTCCACTCCTGTTTCGTTCGCATTGTAGATGCGATCACTTTCTAAAAGGGTGCCAGGGCTACTTTCCTCTTCAAGAAAGTTCTTTAAACAACTCTCGAATATGATTCTCCGTAATGGAATCTTTGCTTTTTGAAATTATCTTCGCATTGCGCTGAGTTATTAGTAGATGTCGTCTTAAAAAAAGCTTCACCCGTTTTTCATCTGGATGATTGTCTTTAAATGGATTTTTCTTTTCCGTTTCCGTCATGACGTTAAAGACCGTATTAGCTAATTATTGGCACAAAAGCAAGCAAAGAAATGTTCTATTCAAATTTTTATTGTTACATTTATTTAGTTTTCGATTAGTAAACATAGTTTATTAAGCTGTTTAACGTATGATGCAACTAACCACTGGATTTATAAAGATAAATTATAATTATAATTCTCTTTCTAAGTTTAGAAATTAAATTAGCATTTTAAAACGAAATTATTTTAGGAGTTATTCATACAACATTTAACAAAATTTTAGGTGTCCTCTATATTGCAGAACTACTAATTATCTTTGAGCCATGTGAAATCATAGTTCACACACACTGTTCATTTACTGGGAAATCTATTCCCAGTGAAGAAACATGCCTGCACCTTTACTGGTTAGAAATTATTTTCTGTATTTTCAGCAGAGTTTTAATGTATAATATGACTAAAGGTACAAGAAAATTAAAATTTTATTTTTATTTTCATTAACTTGGAAAAATCCCAGTAAAGGAACACTTTTTCATTCATTGGTTTTTCCTCGTTTTGTAATCCAGTTAATAAACACCCCCTGATCTCAGCACTTGCTTATGCTATGAAGCTTAAAATAAATAAAACGTAACTTCAATAACCATATTTCGAATTCTCTTTTTTGCAGTGAGAAAAATAAAACTATTACATGAAATTAATTGCGTTTTAAACGGATAACTACAACCTTATAATTCTGTCAAAGAAACGAGGTGTTGCATAGATACTAACAAATTCAAAATTTATTCCAGGGAAGACTATATGACCAGGTAACCCAATGCATTGTTAAATGACTTCTTATTGTTAGGTAGTAAGCTACTGTTACCAATCAATCTAAGTAAAAGCTTTTAAAATCTCATTTTTAAAAAAATATATTTGAAATGTTCATTCACTGGGGTGTGTTCCTTCACTAGTTGGTTTACCCTATATAGGCAGAGCTCTAATCAACAAAGAANTCACAGCTCAAGATAAAGCTGAAACTTTTGCTGACTCTCTAGAAAAACAATTCTCTCTAAACCCGGATTTCAATCTGAACAATCATAATCTGGTTATTGAAGATGTTAAGCAATTCAACTTAACGCATTCATCTCCAGAGATAATCGAACCGACCAACATCGAAGAAGTTATAAATCACATCAAAAAACTAAAAATAAAAACAGCTCCTGGTTGTGATAATATCAAAAACAAGATGATCAAGCTACTACCAAAACAGTATATAAAACTAATAGTTTAGATCTACAATGCTGCTTGCTTTACCTTCAACTACTTCCCTGATGCCTGGAAGAACGCAAATGTCATACTTTTCATTAAACCCAGCAAAGATCCTACTTTACCTGAGAGTTACAGACCCATCAGTCTCTTGTGCAATTTAGGAAAGCTCATGGAAAAAATTATCTGCTCAAGGATCATGCCTCACCTTACTTCACTTCTAGATGAGCAGTATGGCTTTCGGAAGCATCTTGACACAACCAAACAGCTCCTCAGAATTGTCGACTATATTGGTCGTGGACTCCATAACAAACAGAGCTCAGCACTACTGATGCTAGATATCGCAAAGGCTTTTGACATAGTTTGGCATCAGGGTCTCATCTTCAAGCTTATACAACTGAAATTCCCATCTGGTGTCATTAAAATTATACAGGCCTACTTACATATTAGAACCTTTCAGGCTAATTTTAAAAACATGAAACCAACGAACAGAAAAATAACAGCAGGAGTGCCTCAAGGAAGCATCCTTGGGCCCATACTATTCATATTATTTACCTACGACTTTCCCATCGACAGACAATACTTTAATAGCATCACAGCACTTTTCGCAGATGATACAGGAATTGTCGTGAAGTCCAAAAATCCCAACATTGCCCTACAGAAACTCCAAGAAAAGCTTACGGAAATAGAAACCTGGTGTCTAGACTGGAAGTTTAAAGTCAACGGCCAAAAATCGAAACTACTAATCATCCGACATAAAAGAAAAACTATCCTCCCAAAAAATCAAGTTGTTCTCTTTAACGAAACTATACCCATAGTCAAAAGCGCAAAATATCTTGGTCTGGTCATAAACAGCAAATTTAATTGGAAAGATCACGTCAAAACAGTTATCAACAAAGCACAAGCAGCCTGTCACAGATTACTAATCCTTCTTCAGAACCCCAAAATGAAACTCAGACTTAAACGTTTACTCTTCATCTCGATGATCCGTCCCATCCTAACTTATGCATCTCCAGCTTGGTGCAACATCTCCACATCACTCCTTAAAAAACTCAAAATATGCCAGAATAAAATCCTCAGGAAAATAACAAAATCAAGATAGTTTATCCGCAATAAAAACATACATCGCGACCTCAACATAGATTTTTTAGACCATCATATTGCAAAGTTAAATTTCAGATTTTCGAAAAGACCATAAATTGTGACACCGCAGGATTCAACGAAATTTTTACTTTCGAAAACTTAGGAGAAGACATAAACCTCAGACCGATGCAGCTCATTTTTGTAGTGACGTAATTTTAACAAAAATTCAAAATATTTAATTTCCTCTTATTCCAATTGCATTCCAATTACCAGAAAGAACCACCTTAAAGACCACAATACAAAACGAATGGAAAAAAGGCCACTAACGGCCCCAGGCGCCCAGATATATTTCGATGATGATGAAAGATGGACGATTTCATAGTCAACCCATGTTGACACGTCAAAAGTGATGATTAAATTGCCTAGTTTCGAGTATTGCAAATTGTTGTAATATCGGATTATTTCTATTTTCCAAATCTCTCTCTCTCTCTCTCTCTCTCTCTCTCTCTATATATATATATATAT